AAACGCCATTTTTAGGATCACCATTTCTCAGCGATGCTCTCATGATGGGCTGTATTCCGGTGATAATTATGGACAATTATGTGCTCCCCTTTCAAGATAAAATCGATTGGCGAATTATATCGATCAGAATTACTGAACATGCTTTTCATCGTTTGATGAACGTTTTAAACGATATATCAACCGATCGTATCACTGAGATGAAGGAACAAGGGGTTTCTATTTGGAGACGATATTTTAGCTCAATTAAATCGATTACATTGTCAACATTATCTTTGATCAATGAAAGGATATTCCCACAATCGGTGATTACTCGAGCTAAATGGAATCATCTAAAATCGGTTCCATTTAAAACCTCTTTCTATGATTAACCCAAAATTATCATCTAGACCTTATAAAGGCTTCACAGCGGTGATACTCACTTACGACCAGTGGAAAGTTTGTACCAAGTCATTCATCGAGTTGTTCAAGCTCCAAGTTGTGTGAAAGTTTTAGTGATTTGGAATAATCAAGAAAAAGACCCTCCTCTTGCCGACGAATGGCCTAAAATTAGCGTTCCGTTGAAAGTGATCAAAACTAAAAAGAACAAATTATCCAATCGATTCTATCCATTTAAAGATATCGAAACTGAGGCCATTCTTGCCATCGACGACGATATTATAATGTTAACACCAGACGAACTTGAGTTTGCTTTTCAAGTATGGAGAGAGTTTGCTGATCGAATCGTTGGTTTTCCTTCTCGGGTTCATCGGTGGAATAATTTTACTCATAAATATCGCTACGAGTCTGAATGGACTAATGACGTTTCCATGGTTCTAACGGGAGCTGCTTTTATCATAAGGTTTGTTGCTTAATTGATTTAATTGATGGAACCTTTCAAATCAATGTTTTCTAATTGTTGTTTCTTTCATAGTTTTACAATTATTTATACACTTTGAGATGCCAAAGGTAATCAAGGATCAAGTAGATGCTCAGATGAATTGTGAAGATATCGCGATGAACTTTCTTGTCAATGTCACCGGAAAGGACCAATTAAAGTGGCACCAAGGAAAAGTTCCGTTGTCCCGAATGTGTCAACGGTGGAATGTTATCCAAAGTACTTTATCATTTGAATGCTCGATCAAAGTGCATCAATGAATTTACAAATTTATGGCTACATGCCTGGAAACCGTTGAATTCAGGGCAGATCCAGTTCTGTTTAAGGATAATCTCCCGGAGAAGTTGAAAAGTTTCATCACATTGGTAATCTTTAAATTCAAGGAAGTTTAAATCTGATTACAAATCCAAGGTGATTAATTTCCCGTCAACAATCAGCATGATACATGTAAATATACTACAATAATCTAGTCTCTCTTTTAATATCTGCCAAATTATCTTGATATACAAAATTTACTGAAAACTGTATTATAATCATACCTCTAATCATTTTGATTAATTTTAACTCACAAATTACAAATTAAATGCTAACAATTTATCATGACACAACATATGATATATTTGAACCAATTTTTCTCTTTATCTTTTAAATTAATTTATTAATATTTGGTTTCTTTTTACACATTTTTGGTTCTTTCTTTGATTAATTAGAATTAGCAGCAACTATTAATTGTTTCAACTGTTTAATTACAGTATCGACTAATTTTCTTTTATCTCGCTCATTCTTCTTTAACGAAGCAAAAATGTTACGATTTTTATCCGCTTCCTTAATCTTTTCGAGTAGATTAAGAGCAACCTGAGGATTAACTCGTAAATATTTACTATCTTGTTTACCATAATCAGCAATATAAGTTGACCATTGCCAAGTGAGAAGGAGATCAACTAATTGTCTTAATTCAGCGAAACACATTTGAAGTGTATTGTCTTCGAAACCTTTGACTGGCTCAGAGTTGGCGAAAAATTCACATTGTAACAGGTCGAGATTAAATTGTTCTAATGCTCCCATTGAAATCGCTTTGACATCTTCGTCGAGTAGAAAATTGATCAAAGATGAGGCCATGTGTTTACAGGCCGAAACACAGGCCGTTGGGCAACTTTAAGAGGTAAATTGGTGAATGCTTGAAATGTCGAGGTTAAAATTTGATGAGATCGGTAATATAAGAAGAGCAACACCCGATGATTCAACCAACAGCCAATCATAATCAGCAATGTCCAAAAATTCATCGATTTTTTTATTAAGCAGAAAGTATATTTGAGATTCAGCGTCAGATCGAGCATCTTTGAACATCGAGCTTCCTTGAAGTTTGGCAAGATGTGATCCACCGGCTAATTCACCAACGGTAGTTGTCGAAGCGCCAATTGGTGAACCAAGTCCAGTGGCCTGTAAGGGTTGAGAAATATATTCCTCCAAGAAACTCATTGAGTCTTCCAGGTAATTGGTGTTTATCGCGATTTGTATTAACTGAAGTAAACCAAGGCTCGGTTTCTTAATTAGAACAGATAAACAGCCGGAAAGAGTTCGAGTAAGTAAAAGATTAGTTGACTTTCGGACCATATCCTCGATTTCAGTTTGACTTATATTAAGATCTTGTGAGAATTGTCGACAAGCGTTAATGAAACGCTTCACTTGGGTGAAAACTTTGGGTACAAACAATGAGAAAGGAAATTTTTTAGGATAATCAGAATCACCGGTTGAAATTACTTCACCCTCATAATAAGGGAATTCACTGATTATCTTATCATATTCAGATTGAGATTCAACTTGAATTGGATGATAATTATCACCATCGAAAATTGATCTAAACAATGAACACCATTGTTTCATTAAAATCTCATTATATTGATCACGAATTTCAATGAGTAGATTGAAAAAAGGATTAACATTGTAACCATAACTTTGAAGTGTTTGACTGAACAAAATGATAATCCGTTTGATTTGGAGCATCAGATTTTCATCAGTACAATACGATGAATAGGTTCGTAGCGAGGCGATCACTGATTGTAGAGCGTTTTCCCAAACTTCGTCAAGATATGATTTAGTTACCAAACCGGGAGCAGTATTGAGAATATGATTTTCGATGACAAAAAATCCAACAACACCACAGAAATAATTCTTGTAACCGTCAATGTTTTCGTGCATGTTGATCGGAGGTTGAAGGACAAGTTTAGCCTGTTGTTGTCTCTGTTGGCGGTAATATATTTCAAACAGTTCACGAGCACCAAGACAGCCGAAAATGTGAAGACACCGATAGACCGGTGAAAAATCAACAATATCGGTTCCTTTTAATTCATCTTCAGTTGATATTCCGTTTCTGGTGAAATCTGAATCTGATTCACTGTCAATCTCATCTAAATCATCTTCAATTGAAGATGACATTGTTGGTGGTGGTTTAGGGGCTCGATGTTTCTTTCGTGGGGTAATCAATGGGGCATTCGCTGAGGTGACATTGTTTAAATTGTTCATCGATGTTGAATTCAGCGAGACAATTGTTGGTAACTTTTTCCCCGTAACTTGGTGACTTGGACTGTTGGTGGAACTGTTTTCATTGGATGAAGAGTTACTCGCACTGTTAGAACTACTTGTTAATAAAGTATCTTCGATATTCTGTTGATGAGCAGCATTTTTCATGGCAATTTCTCCAATTTGTGATGATAATTTTCTAACATTTTCCAGGAAATCCTTCAAATCTGACATGGATGCTTCCTTGATCTGCTCTCGAATCTGTGGTATTTTATCCCTCATCGATTGGGCAAATCGATAATGAGAAACACGAGGTAAGTAATTAGTTTCCAATTGTTCCAGAGTTTTTAATGCCGGATAGTAACGAGTCGCCTCCATTTGAGAAGTTAATTTACTGAACATTTTCAACACTGGTAAACATTGACTCAAATGATCGATCGCTGTTTCTATGTTACAAACTATTTTTCGATATCGAATCAGCTCTTCGGCTTTTCTTTGGACATTTTCAGATGATTTTTGAATATCTTGATTAATCTCAAGAATCTCTTTCTTAAGTATTTCGGCTTTGGGTCTAACTTGAAGAAGATCATGAATACAATCAACAAAATCCTGATAATTGGCATTACACATTCTCTTGATATCTTCATCGTGGCTTTTGATTCTAGCATCAAGTTTCTCCATAAATTTGTCGTATTCAGCACCAACAGCTCGATTACTGTATATAAATGAAAGAAGATCAAGAAAATTAGAAACAGAATAACAATAATACAAGTAATAGTGATTAAGAAAATGATTTAACATCAGAGAGATTAAGAATTTACCTGAAGACAAGACTAAGTGATGATGGATCATTTGATTCCAATTCAATGAGTAAATGATCACAGCCATTTAATTTTGAGAAAAGAGGATCAACAACAGGTGGATCTTTGGATGAATTCATGGTTAATTAAGTGATTAACACTAAATTGTTCCCATCAAACAATCAATAAGAAAATATTTACCAAGAGAAAAGTGAATCAACATTGAAAAAGATACATAAGAGAATTTAGATTAAACTGAATCGGATAGCTAAACAAAATCCGAATCAATGATAAATCAATTGACATTAAGTGACATTAATCAAGAACAAAACAAAAATACAAAACAAATCACATTGTCAAACAATTAACTTTCATTCAGCTGATCACAATTTCCAGTAACCAGGTAACCAGTTTCCCTATAAAACAGTTGTCAGGTAATTGTGCAGGCGAATAGCGGAAAAGTTAAATCAACTCGAATTCTCTGCAAAAAAAATACAATTAAATTTTATATTTGTATATTTTTAATCAACAATTAGTAAATCATAATCATCATAAAGTCGAAGAAAAATTTTCTCAAATTTTCTTTCAACTCGAAAATGATACAAGAAAAGAAAAAGTGTTTTACCATCTTTCTTATTTTCCACTAATTAATTGAGTTTAAATTGTAATTAGATGATATCTGAGATATTGGTAAGTATTATCGTACTTAATTAAATTGGTAAAATTAATCGATTGTTGGTCAATTAAATCTAATTAAATTGTAATCACTAAAAGTGTTGATCAACTTTTTAAACTTTCACCTCAATGAGTTTCCAAAAATCTACCGATCGTGTCGCTTGTGTTGATTTTTTTTTCATTGTTTTGATTAAAATGTTTTTTAAATTGTTTTTGTAAACAAATGTTTCCATTGTCATTATTGGTCTTAATTAGTTTAATTTAGTTAAATGATTTGATCAAAGGTAAGTTGTTACAATCACTAAATCTACTATATTGTCATATTAATGAATTTGTTTTCGTTTTATGCTTTTCTCCTTTGTGTCCACTGAATTGTCCGTTTAGGTTGAGAAAATAGTAAAATGGATAATCAGACAGAATCTAATTGTGATCAGATTCAGAATCAATTATCTGATTCTGATAATTTTTCACTTGGTAAAGTGAAAAATGAAACCCAAGATGAAACAATGGATAACAATGTTTTTGGTAATTATCATCTGAAGTGGTATTTTTGTTTTCTTTTTTTTTCTCTTTGTAACATTTAGATTTTGTCACTTTGTTTCAATTTACTAAACATTGAAAATTGTTTACTTTTTTATTTCTCTTAATAGAAACATCAATTGCATTACCAGTCAGCCTACCTGTGATTAATGACCAATCTCTTAGTCTATTAAATGAAGAAGTGACTGAAGATCAACTTGCAGCGTTTTTAGGTGATTATTTTGCAAACAATCAAGAAACATTTTCCAGTGATAATACAACGACGACGACAACATCTTTGGTTAAACAGGAAAAAGAAACGAATTCCAACAATCTTAATTTTTTTGATAATTCTAAATCAAATGAGGATAAGATGGATCAACAACCAGAGGCGATAATCAATTCTGAACAGTCTCATAATCAAGGGTTGAACAATTATCCAAATCAAAGTCCCTCGAATGTTTTTCAATCCTCTGAAATCAGAATGGCCACTTATACACCTTCGATCAATAGGCCTTCATTTCAAGGTCCCTCACCACAATCATTATCTCTTGTTAGTAGTATGAATGGTAATTTCGTAATGCCCAGTTCAAGTGTTCCTCAGCAATCATATATGGGTGGAAATATCTCCCAATCTCCTGGATATCAATGGGATCTTGGTAGCTCAACGCGAGTCCCGCCAGTATTTTCTAAATCAAATTCTGATAATTATTTTGCTCGATTATTTGATCCATTTGGAAATGTTCTTAATCAACAGAACCGTCAGATGGGCCAAAACACCAATACAAATTCAAACAAATCAACTGGAGTAAAAAATGGCGTAAGAATCAGTTAATATATTGTTAGGTTTACATTAATGAATTATCTTTACTAAATTTCTATCATTAATTTATATTGTCCAGTCATGATAGAATTGAGATTCTAATTTTCTGATAATTAATTCTAATGGATTTTTTTTTGTACAATTTACAGAGGATTCGAAGGTATTTCAATGATAATCATGCCTCTCACATGCGAAATACATTTAACAGGATCAACCAACAAACATCAGTCGATTTTGACTTAATGACAAAAGTTTTCAACGATCTCAAAGCACCGTACGAGCTTCCATTCACCAAAGAACAAGTTATCGAATGTTATGATTGGTTCGTGGGTGCAATACAATATAATTATGTTCCAGGAAGACGAAAACAATTACCTCGCGAAACAAATCAAAGTGCTTTGAGAGATGAATTAAGAATGATCGAAGCGGCGAAAAAAGCAGCTGACCCTTCGAAAGAAGTAATTTGCCTGGACTGAGTCGATAACTCGATATTCATTGACCTAATTTTTTGAAACCATCAACTTTGTAAATCGCCACAATAAAAGACTTCTCATTATTTTAATGAAATATTAGGTTCATACACAGTAGTTTACAATCACAGTTATTTTATTGATTAATAAGAAAACGAGTAAATTGAGTTTTGTTGTGTTTTAATCGCAAAAAAATCATTTGATCAACGATAGAGACATTTGAAAGTGAAATGCAACAAGTTTACTCTTTGCTTGTGTTGATTGTTATTCTTTTAATTGTTGATTAGATCAGATTGACTAATCTGAATCGTTGGAAAGTTAAATTGTCGTTTTGTTGGTGATTCGTCTTTGTGATTCACTTTCACTGTTGGATTTTTTTTTCTGATCATTGGTTTTCTTTTGCTGTTTTTTTGCTCGTTTTTTTTTTAATTATCGGTAATTTATACGAATTTAACTCCAACGTTAACTTTCATACAAGCTAATTCTTTATCCTCATGGTTAATCTTCATGCTCATGGAATAATCTCCCTGTTAATGAGTAGGAAAAATTTGGATTATTTTATGTTGGTAAAATATTCGATCGTTAATCATCACAATTAGAGTTAATGTGATTTATACCAATCAGCATTTCTGATTTTCAGATTTCTCTAAGTTGTTATTGATCAACATTTCTTTTTACTTACATTTCCAATGGCTAATAAGGCTGGAGGGAAGAGACCGAAGTTGAGTTGGTAATTAACATTGGCTACATAATCGCCGGGTTCCGATGGGCATTTGCACTCTTGATTAGCAGATTCAAGGATGGCACAAACGAGTTTCCGGTGAATCTTGAAAATCTCACACAAAGTCATTGTACAAGAACCGATTCCATTGAGACAGGGAACCCAAATCGGTAAATTTTGACCAAGAACTCTCAGGTTTTTGTTGATTTTTATGGTGACCACTGAGTCCCCTGAAATTGGTGTCGCTTGGGTGGCGTTAACTGAAATTCGGATGGGATCTTCTCTACCGATTCTGATTGGATTGTCAAGGTCGATTTTATGAACTTTTATTATTGCATCTCGACCACCACAGTCTTCCCATGATGGTATTTTTATCTTGGATTTGGCCTCAACTTGTACTGTAGAAATTAAGAAACAAACAAAAATAACGTAGAAAAACATTTTATTAGAATAAAATTTGTTACTTTTATCAAAAAGGCAAGAATAGAATTCAAATTACTTTTTGGCTTCGATTTGGTTTTATACAATTTTCTCAGTTGTTTCCATCATCAATTAAGAATATTATTCCATGTTGATTAGATCAATGGACTTGATTGTGTCAGTTAATTGAAACGCCTCTGAAAATCAGAATAAATAATCAAGATGAACTCAATTAACGAAGGATTGAAACATGAATTCGTCGATATATTTATCGACACCTTGACAATGAAATTCCAAATCAACCTCAACATGATCTTATGAATTGATTAAGATTCTCATGATATCAAAACTCTATTTAAATGGTGATCAGAAAACGGGAATAACCGATTGATTTTCCATTCGAATCTGATCTGATTTAATTTGTTAACAAAGTTAATTAATCGACATAATTGTCTTAATCAACCTTCTCCAAATCGACACTTGGACAGATTTTATTGATCTATTGTTAGAAACAATGAACAATTGATTACCATTGATAAATTAAAACAATTGACAGGATTTTCAGAAAATTCTGTTAACTAGTGATTCTAAAAGTGGAACAAAAATTTTTAATCAAATTGAAATTCAACAATTAAAAATTATTAAACTGACTTCAACTCTGAACTTGACCATTCGGACATGAGGATACTTACTGAATATTAAATACGATATTTTTAATCAAATGATTATAATGAAGCAGAAAATTCAATCAATCAAACAATTAACAATCAAACTTTACTTCCTTTTAAAATTAACAACGAATCAAATTATTTTTAATTCCAAATGATATCAGTTTAGTTTGAAAATGAATTTCTTTTCTCCAATAAATCAACTGATTGCAATAATTGTTATCTGTTTGATTAACTTTCCATTGATTGTTTTTTCACTTTCATGGTCTAATTGTGAATCAGATAATCCAATTCTTACCTTCAACTCGTTAACAATTGAAGGTGATCCCATTGTAATCGGTGATCCTGTTAAACCATTGAAAGTATCTTTAGATGTAAATCTAACAAAACCAATCGATGATCAGTTAATTGTTAAAATCTCAATTAGCAAAGTATTTACGATATTCGGTAAGCGATTAACTTTACCCAGTTTCCCCTGTATCAAAGGCTATGGTTCCTGTGAACGTAATCTATGTGATTTTTTGACCAGCGATGAAAATAGTTTCGGGTGTCCGTTAATTAGATCACTCGATCGACCCTGTTTGTGTCCCATTGATCCTGGCCAGTTAATTGTCAACGATTTCAATGGTCACATTGACTTGTCCAATGTTCCCAAGATGCTCCTTTGGTTGTCATCTGTAAGTTTATATTTTAATTGTTGAACTAAATCATCAATTTGAATCATTGATTGTATTCAAGATCTAATGTTTTTGTGCATCTAAATTGGTAATCATGTGATTATTAATTATCCGATTGAATTGTTATCCTCTGATTTTGATTCAATCATTGATAGATTTTTACATTTGTATTGTTGGTTGTTGATTAATTATTTCGTTTCTTGATTACTTGATAGGGTGATTATAATGTTAATATTGTGATTAATAGGGATGACCAGTCAGTGACCTGCCTTGATTTGGATTTGGATCTTGAGATGACCAATATTTCCCATGAGGAAGATTAATTGTTACAATTTAATTAACTGTTGAAACTGATTAATTGTCGCATGGAAACAAAAAGAAAAGGATAAATCAAATCAAATGATGGAAAACATAATTATCACAATTGAAATGATTAAATCAAATGAAGGAAAATGAATGAAAATATATAAACACAATTGTATCGTTGATTGTTACAATCAGTTAGTGATTAAATAATTATACAAAAACTCATCCCAACGATTTTCTTGTCAACATAATTTAAATGATAATTAAATGACTCAAAGATTGATTAAACTCAATTGTGATCATAAAACCAGGAATTAAACAACAATCACTTTAATCGCTACAACAATTAGTTAATTAGCGAAAATATCGCTGATTATGATTAGGCAAAACCTTAAACCGATAAATGTTTTCATTCTGATTGCTTATAAACAATAACAATTTAATGATAACCGTTAATTGTACAAAAAACACTCTCAAACAGTTGATAGTTAGTAAATTGTTCCAATCATTTCAACAGTAAGGAGATTGAAATTTGAAAATGTATTTAAAACTTGTAACTTTTTTCTTAATTGTCTCAATTGTTTCATCTGATCCAATTTCATACACTGAATGTGACATCGAAACCAACATCGGTAAATTGGACTCTCTTGTAGTCCCTGGTGATCCAATTGTCGTTGGTACCTCACATCCCGTTGATCTTTCCCTATCTGGAAGCATTGACTCTGCCGTTAACGACGATGTTGATCTGGTTCTTAAAATCGAGAAGCAAATCTCCGTTTTCGGGATCAAAAAGTGGATCTCAGTTCCTTGTATCGATGATTATGGTTCGTGTACACAGAAATTGATTGATTATGTTACTCGTTACAACGAAACTTTTGTCTGCAAATTACTGACCCAAATGGGCAAACCCTGTTCGATGCCCTTTTTACCTGGACAATATTCAGTATCTAATTTCATAATTCCAGTTAATTTATCCAAAATTCCCCAGGCAATTTTGTCTCTTGCAAATGTAAGTTAAACACTCAGATTTAATTCTTATTTACTTTACAATTTGAACTCTAATTTGTGTCTTCCGCTTCTCAACATTATCTTTAATTTCCAGGGTAAAATCAAAGTTCATTTGGAAATCAAAAATGATTCTGTTCTCTATTGTGTTGATGTAGTTATTGATCTTGATCTTGAATCAAATACTGATGATGGTAAACTAATTGTTGATGAAACTAATCATTCTGAAAATGATCAACAAGCTGACGATTTATCTTCACAATATGGTGGATGGGCTGATTTCAATCCCTTCTGGAATGATTAGATAATTGTAAACTTTTTTTCGTTTTGTTCAATTTAAAACTTTACAAATGATTTGAACCAAATTAAAGTTAACAGATTCAACGATTAGACGAATACAATTCTGATACAATGATCAAAGTTCTCATACACTGTGATAAGATATAATGATAAGAAAAATGAATTTTCAACAAGAATCTATCATAAATCAATTCTAAATTAACGTTAATTGTTGAAAAAAATTTTCCTCTTTTTGAATTAACCGCTTTTCTTTACTCAAGTGTTTGTTTACATTTGATTCAACAAATGTTGAGAAATAATTTTGTGCTTTTATTATTCTGTGTCTTTGATTTAAATTTAATTGTGGTTTCAATTTATAATTGAGTTAATTTGTCGACAAGATGGGAAGTAATGTAATCGCTCAGAAGAATATTAAAAAGGCTTTGGAAGAGGATCCCAGTATTTTTGAATATGATGAGATTTACGAAGACATAAAGAAGGACAATAAGCCGGTTGATGATTTAAAGAAAAACGAACCTAAGAAAGAATTGAAATCTAAGTATATTTCCAATTTACTTAAAACTGCTAATAAAAGAAAACAGGAATCTGAACAAAGATTTGATCGTAAAATTCAAGCTGAAAGGGAAGCGGAAGGTGAACAATTCGCGGACAAGGAAACGTTTATTTCTGCTTCTTACAAGCAAAAGTTGGAAGAGAAAAGGATTGCCGAGGAAAAAGCAAAGATGGAAGAAGCTTTGGAAGAAGCGATGGACGTGAAAAAACAGAAAGATCTCAGTGGATTTTATACATATTTTCTAAATAATACTCTTACCAATGAAGCGAAAAAGAAACAAGATGAGAAAATTGAAGAAGAGAAAAAAGCAAAAATCAAGAGAAAACAGAGCTACCGGCCTCGAGAGGCTCGACAAAATTCAATGGAAGATGATGATTCTACTATTACATGTAAAAAACTACGAGAAGATAAACAAAAAAACAACGAAGAAGAAAAAGGAAAAGAAAAGAAAAAAGAATCAGCCCGTTTTATCGATGGTGATGCTGATGTCGAACATGAATCGGAGTCTGAATCAGAATCAGAATCAGATACAGAGAATGATGTTCCAAGTGGTGGTCATGTTAATGAAGAAGAAGTAAAATCAACCGTTGAACCAAAAGAAAGTGAAGTGATTAAAGACGAAGTGAAATCCGACGAACCCAAGTTATCACATGAAGAGATTAAAAAACAGAAATTAGATGCAATTTTTAAGAAGCGAACTGTTGGTCAAGTGTTCGAAGATGCTGTCCAGAGATATTCAGCTAGAGTTGCTGATCGTTTATTGTCCACATAATAGAAAAATCAACAGCCTGTAATCGAATCGCATCTCAGTTAAAGTTCACTTATTATCTTAATTTAATCGGAGCAAAAAATTAAGAATCGTGCAGAAAAACAATTTGCCTCAAGTAACAATTACATCTCATAAACTTGTGACTTGTTGAGGATAATCAACATTGATTATCTTCAACTTGGAGATCAATTTAATCAACAGTCTGAGTAACAGAGTGTCTTGGTTTTCACTTATCTCAATTGTTACTAACAATCAACATCAACATTGGATTTTAATTTTGTTTGATTCCAACTACATAGTTAATTGAAAGATCAAGTTAATCCTCCAATAATTACTGTCTATTCTTGGCTTTTTGTTTAACAATTTAATTGTGATTAAGTTATTATGGCCCCTGTACTAAGTCGTGATCCACCCGATATTGAGGTATTTTTATTTTAATAACAATTAAAATCTAAACAATTGATTCAATACAATTTCGATCCTCTTCCATTGAAAGTTATTATTGTTAATTGATTTAACCCATTGATCTTTATCTAGATTTGACTTTTAAATTTAACATTAACCTCAAATTAAAGATCAATTAATCAATTCTTACAATGATTAAAATCAATTGAATTGATGTTAATTGTTTTTATCTTAACCACTTGACACAAAGAAAAGTATTAATCAAATGATGATTGTCAATCAATAGACATTGAAGATCAAGTCAATCATATGAAATAAACAAATTATATTGTATTACTGTTAATCGAGTAGCAAATTAATTCTGATGACAATTAATTGCAGAGTTTACTACAATTAAATCCCCGATCGCGACAACATGCCAACGTTATTCCAAGTATTGAAACGAAAGCAAATAAAAAACACTGGAAACGAAACGAAGATAAAAGTTGTTCGGTAAGTAAATCAGTTAATTGTTAACCTAAATTGTTCAACTTATATTCAATACTTAAATGCAGACCTGTGGAGATTTGGAAAACAATTTCGATGATATTAAACACACGACATTGAGTGAACGAGGTGCTCTTAAAGAGGCCACAAGATGCCTGAAGTGCGCTGATGCTCCGTGTCAAAAAAGTTGTCCAACCAACATAGACATTAAATCATTTATCACGATGATTAGTAACAAGGTAAACGATTTAATTGATTCAAATAAATAATTTCTAATTGTTGATCGTCTTTAAGAACTATTATGGAGCTGCTAAGGCCATTTTTTCGGATAATCCGTTAGGATTAACTTGTGGTATGATTTGTCCGACAAGTGACCTTTGTGTAGGCGGATGTAATCTGTATGCAACTGAAGAGGGTCCGATTAATATTGGAGGATTGCAGCAATTTGCAACGGAGGTAATCAGTCAATTCTAATCGTTGATTGTTATTAAATACCTTTTTTTTTCCTCGTCAAGATTTTCAAAATGATGTCGGTTCCGCAGATTCGACCTCCGTCTACAGTTAAAACTTATCCATTCAATGTTCACTCTCCTGAATCTTATTTAACTAAAATTGGATTAATTGGTTGTGGACCAGCGTCAATATCTTGTGCCACTTTTCTGGCCCGTTTAGGTTATACCGATTTAACTATTTTCGAGGCGAAACCTTATTTTGGAGGCTTATCCAGTTCCGAGATTCCTCAGTATCGTTTACCCGTGGATGCGGTTAATTTTGAGATTAACCTGTTGACACAATTAGGCGTCAAAATTAAGACCAACTCGGCGCTTGGTAAAGATTTTACTTGTTCATCATTGAGAAATGATGAAGGTTACAAAGCGATTTTCATTGGTATCGGTTTACCTCAATCTAAATCTTTGGGCATTTTCAAAGGATTAGATTCATCGTCCGGTTATTTTACATCGAAACAATTTTTACCTTCCGTGTCGGAGGCATCGAAACCTGGCCTGTGTCCATGTAAACAGCAGCAACTTGCAGCCCAACTTCCTGATTTTCGTGGACGACTGGTACTTGTCCTTGGTGCTGGTGATACTGCTTTCGATTGTGCTACATCGGCACTTCGGTGTGGTGCTCGAAGAGTGACCGTCGTTTTCCGAAGAGGATTTACCAATATTAAGGCTGTACCAGAAGAGATGGAATTAGCTCGTCAAGAGAAATGCGAATTTATCCCTTTCTGTTCACCCAAACAAGTCGTTCTTCGAGCTGATGGCAATACGATTGAAGGTATGATCTTTGCCCGAACAGAAGTTGATCCAGTTTCTCGTCGATTGATCGAAGATGAAGACCAACGGATTAAAATTAAAGCTGATATCATAATCTCTGCATTTGGTTCAACCCTGGATTCTGACGAGATTAAATCGGCCCTTGAACCTGTACAACTAAATGACCAAGGATTACCAGAGGTCGATAAAAAAACAATGGAAACAAATGTGGACTGGATATTTGCAGGCGGTGACATCGCCGGAGTGGCTGAGACAACAGTTGAAGCCGTTAACGATGGTAAAACGGCCGCTTGGTCGATTCACAAATATATTCAAGTAAGAAATTAGTCTAATAATAACAACAATCAGTTAATCATTTCGTTCTCTCTTCATTTACAGTCTCTATTCAATGATGTTGTGCCGTCGATTCCTAAATTACCCAAATTTTACACTCCAATCGATACCGTTGACATAAGCGTTGAAGTTGCTGGTCTACATTTCAAAAACCCATTCGGCCTCGCATCGGCTCCTCCAACCACTTCGGGTCCGATGATTAGAAGAGCTTTCGAAGCAGGTTGGGGATTTGCACTCACGAAAACTTTTAGTTTGGACAAAAATTTAGTGACCAATGTTTCACCTCGAATTATTCGTGGAACAACATTCGGACCCTCATTTGGTCCAAATTTGGGCTCTTTTTTGAACATTGAGTTGATTAGCGAGAAAACTTGTGCATATTGGTTACAGGTAATCAGAGAAATTAAGAATGATTTCCCTGATCACATTTTGATTGCTTCGATCATGTGTTCATTTGATGAGAATGATTGGAAAACTATAGCTAAACTCTCTCAAGATGCGGGAGCTGATGCTTTGGAATTGAATTTATCGTGTCCTCATGGAATGGGTGAAAGAGGAATGGGCTTAGCTTGTGGTCAAGATCCACAATTGGTCAAATCAATTTGTTCTTGGGTTAGAGAAACAGTTTCAATCCCTTTCTTTGCTAAGTTAACTCCAAATGTGACAGATATTTGCACCATTGCCAAAGCTGCTCATGAGGGCAAGGCCGATGGCGTGACCGCTGTTAATACAGTCTCTGGACTAATGGGGCTTAATGATAAAGGTGAACCTTGGCCTGGTGTTGGAATCCAGAAGCGGACAACTTATGGTGGTGTCAGTGGATCTGCAATTAAACCAATAGCTTTGAGGGGAGTCTCTGCTATCGCCAAAGCTTTACCAGGATATCCAATTCTTGCCACCGGTGGGATTGATTCAGCTGAAGCTGGGTTACAATTTATCATGGCCGGTGCATCGTTACTTCAAGTCTGTTCAGCTGTTCAGAATCAAGACTTTACTTTAATCGATGATTATATTGATGGACTCAGAGCTTGTCTCTACATAAAAGCTCATCCAGAACTTTACCATGATTGGAATTTTCAATCACCACCAACACCTAAGCATCAGAAAGGTAAACCAGTTGGAACCATTGGTCAAGGATTACCGAATTTCGGTGAATTTGCTGAGAAGAAAAAAAATATGATCGGAGATTCGAGACGAAAATCTTTCAATCAACAACAAATCGAAACAAACATGAATCAAAGTGATCTAAATTCGACTAAAAGTGAACAACAAATCAAATCAATTCCAAGAATAAAGGTAATCCTATTTCTTTTTTTTTCTTCAATTTTTAATTTTTGTATCTCTTTTGGAATAGGAAATCGTTGCTGAAGCTGTACCAAGAATCGGAGCCTTTGGTGAACTGGACACTAAACAACAAGTAGTTGCTTTAATTGATGAGGTAAATGTATCAACTCTCATTTTTATCCTTTATCGTTGTTAATTTTCTTAATTGTTTCCTTAAAATAGGATATGTGCATCAACTGTGGTAAATGTTACATGACTTGTAACGACTCTGGTTATCAAGCGATAAGTTTTGACCCGATAACCCACATACCCAAAGTAACAGATGATTGTACTGGTTGTACTTTATGCTATTCGGTTTGTCCAATTATCGATTGTATTTCAATGGTTCCATCGAACAAACCAAATAAACCCAAAAGAGGTATCGAACCAGAATATGAACCATCGATCGCACCTAAAAGTCCGCTTCCAATTCAATGAAACTAAACTGAGATAATATGTATTTCGAACATGAAAAAATACTTTGTAACTCAATCAATGAAATAGAGAAAACGAATAAATAATTAAGACAAAATGATCAATTTATTGGCTTTTCATTTAAATTGCTCATGAAATTCGGCCACATCCTTGAGTCGCTGTTCTTGAGCTCGAGTTATATTCTTATTTTTCTTCTCTATTTTTTCAAAATAAGAATTGTAAGCGATGAAAAAATTTTCTACAGTCCATTTTCTGAAATCAAACATGAAAACACAACAATTAGAATTTCATTCAATACTATTGATCATAAACTTACAATTCAGTTGATAAGAATCAAATTTTGAGAGAAATGCACAATTAATTAAAGGTAAACTAAAAGGTGAGAAAGAAATTTGTGTAGGCCAGCTGATTTTGTCGATAGTCGATTAATCAAAAGTACTAATAGATTGTCTTAAATTTCTGTAACTAGTTAATGGAAAAGTCGAAACAATTTTCGAGAATCACGAAACAGTCTAATATATTAACGAGTATATTAAATTGTCCTTTATTGCAAATTTCTATTTATGGATCATTGGTAAAACTACTGCTTCAATCAATTCTTGAATTTGTTTATCTAATCCTCCGATATCATTATATTGTTCAGTTGGACGTTCATCAACCTTAAAGTTCATAAAGTTATTATGTTTATTTTCTCTGGACGAATTAAATTGTCCTTTATTGCAAATTTAATTTCATTTTAAATTAGAACATTTTTAATAAAGAAACTTTTCATTTTTTCTATCTTTCTTTCGACTTTAAACAACAACCAATTGTCGAATTTTCCCCCACAAATGACAAATATCGTCTTTCGGGTCCGAATAAATGTTTTTTGTATCCATTGTTTTCGTTAATCTCCATTTAAGAGGTAGAACAGATTTCGACGAATCAGTTAACATCGGAGGCCAATTTAATCTTTGACCATAAGCAAAACTCTTTATAAATTTGATCATTTGTCTTGTTACTCGTCGATCGCGATCACTGAAAGTATCGTACTCATGATAAGCTTTTCCTAGAATTTGATAAGCGGCGTCACCATGTTTGGTACCGAAAAGCCTTTCGCTCTTATTGAAACCATCCATTACATAAGCATCTAAGTAACCATGAGTTATTTGTCCGTTCTTAGTCCAAGATTCGGTGTAAAGTAACAATGGACAATGGTGGAGATAATCGCCCGCAGCTAATGAAAGTGCTCCTTTAATCTCCATGACGTTATAATCTTCAACTTTATCGAAATAATATTTGAAAACTGTTTCTGCTATATCTTTCAATTTTGACTGGATTATTAATCTAAACAATCAATGTAAACAATTAGCTTACCAACTATTGATATTGTAAATCTACTAATTATATTAGATAACTAAACAAATTGTACAAAATGATAGAATAACGTTTAATTGTTGAACAGAAATTTCATCACCATAAAGATAAATTTAGTAAACGATAATTTTTGGATAATCAAGTTGCTCATTCGCCACAATTTAAGATTAACTGATTACTTTTCTTTGAGTAATTTGATTCTGTCTAATTGAGTAACATCAGAAATCACGAATTTTGAAAACAATCGCAATTAAAAACGACCAAGAAAATAAAGTTTCCATGATAATCCAACCAGAGAGCGTCACCAACACAGCTTGTTTATCTTTGTCTCTTTTTATCATTCTAATTAGTGATGATTATTGGATTTTCCAATGATCGATTGTGACAGTGATTGTGATCGAACCTGCAGTTGTGAAACCCTTTGTTCGACCATGTAAAAAGGCTTTAGGATCAAATTCTTCAAAGATTATCAGCTCTCAAAAGTCAACTAACGCATGTGTTGATGAAGGTGAAGGTAAAGAGTCCAATGAGGTAATAGAGATATTACAACATCAGAAGGCGAAAAATTTGGATGCCAAGATTGTCGACAGAATTTTGAATGAAATTATTGAGAAAACCGATGGACAAGGTGTTGATTGGAAAGATATTGCTGGACTTAAAACGGCCAAGGAGAGTATCCGAGAGATTGTAATTTTACCATTGTTAAAACCTCAACTTTTCGTTGGACTTAGAGATCCTTCAAAAGGTATTTTATTAAAGATTTGCTGCTTATGTCAAGAAGCGGCTTATGGTCCAACCCTTACCACTGACCATTAGACGCATGATGCCTGATGATGCATGATGAAATCTTTTTCATCTAATGTATGTTTTTCCGAAGATATTAATCGTTTGATTAGATCTCTACGAGCTTGTTTATTGGGAAGGGGAATGTAAAGTCTACTGTTGAATCGCCGCCTTGCAGCTTCATCTAATTCATGAGGTCGATTAGTGGCACCGACAACAAGTAGACTTTCCTCATGGTCAGTGGTAAGGCCATCAAATTGAACAAGAAACTCGGTTTTCAATCTACGAGAAGATTCATGTTCAGAGTCATTTCGCTGAGTTAAAAGTGAATCTATTTCAAAAAGAAAAGTTTTTCTTTTTTTTCTTTAATAAACATTTTCAATCAAAAAATATATTGATTTTAACGCAACAGAAAAGCTTAGATATTTGATTGTGGTAATAAATTGCAATCAGTTGATGAAATATATTGTTTTTTTTTTCTTCAGCGGTGGAAATGATTAATTGCAACAAAGGGAAATAATTATTTTGGAAGAAAACAAAAGATTAACAAAAAGGGATTAACTGTTGGCTTAAAAAACACAAGCTACTGTATAGCGTTTCCAGTCGTATATGCATATATGAGATTGGTGATGGCTCTTTGGGGTTGAGTGATTAGAAAAAAGTAGATTTGATTTCTCTAGAATAGAGGATAATCTAGAAAAAAGAATAGATTTGTGTTGATAATATTTGATGAGAGAGAAAGAGAGAAATAGGTGAGTTATATAGGAAATTATTCCGACTTTTGTATGATGATGACGATGGTGAGATATGATTATAATAAAAAATATATTCGATGATAAAAGAGATAAATTTTGTGTGTGATAATTGTCACCAGTTAATTTTCATTTGATGATGATAAATGATAGTTATCATTAAGTCTGATTGCCTGTTGAAGTTCAGCCATTTTATGTTGATTCAAAGCCAAAAGTCCAATGTTAATCAGGTAATCACAAACATTTATAAGATAGAAAAGTTAATACAAAAAGAAAAATAATTTAATTTATTTATACAAACAAATGAATAAAGAAATTGTTTGTTTGTTTGATATTTAAATGGGAGAAGATTATTTGATTAGGTTAAATTGGTTTAAAGAATTAAACTATTATCATGCTTACAGAGTCCTGAGAGTCGATAATGAAGTTTGGTTATATCGGTGATACATTGTTTCTTTATCTCATATTTCAAGCAATTCATCCGATTCGCGGTAACGGTGTATTTGTAACCTTTCTTGGCGGTTCTCGGATGATCAGATTTTTCGAACCAATCACAAGTAGCTAAACTGTGTCTCAATGAGTTTTTCCAATGTTGACCAGCATCTTGAAAATATGGAAAACATTCCCTGTGAATTAGAAGGAAGAGAGAAAAAAAGAAAAGAAAATAGAATGAAATAGAAAAAGATTAGCTTGTGTTTCTAAGAAAAAGGTTTTCATTTTTTGCTCTTTTTGCTTGGAAAATGCAGGTAAAAATTAGATTGGTACTTACATGAGGAACTTGTAGACACCGGAAACTTCTTGTTGTCGGGTGGGCTCACTGTAAATCGCTAAGGCACATATGTGAGACATATTATGTGAGAACGGAGGCTTCAGGTAACCATTATGAGTTGATGTGTATAAAGAATCAACATCAAGAGCGAAATCAGGGTCAATCCGTTTCTCTGGTTTATTGGCCAATTTTTCAAAATACTTTTTATGTTTTCGGCAACAATTACCTTCTTGACTTTGTTGGGAAAGTTGTGAATCCGATTGTGTCAAATTAGATGTATAATTTGATGATGAATTGTAAAATGAAGATGGCCCATGATAGGAACTTTGAGAAGCGATGACCAAAGGCTGTGAATAGTTTTCATAGCTACTGGATAGAATTGAATTGTCCAAAGATTTTACCTGAAGAACATTTGAATTTTCTTGAGATTTTTGCAGTGAATTTTGAGATCTCTGGGATTGAGATAAAGATTGTGAACGAATCAAGGAATCACCTCCATCCTTTGACAATTGAGAACAGGTTAAACCATTTAGAAGTAAACTTTCAACGGATATATTTTCTTTGACATTTTCGTTGATTTCATTCTCATCACCACCATCGACAATAAACTCTGATTCAAGAGTAAAATCATTAAACAAGCCACAATTTTCAAAATAATGGTCATCAAGTTGGTCAAAATTATCAACCTTCACAGGTAAGACTTGATCCATTGGTGAGGGAGATGAAGCTTGAGATATTAATAATAAAGTTGATGAACTAAGTTGAAACATAAACGGTGAATCAGGAACACGATCAGATGAATTGATGAACTTATCGTAACCTTTGTCCATTGAACAACTATCACAGTAACAATTATAATACCTATTAACCGGTAAATAGAAAGGTCTAAATGGTTCGTTGTCAGCTGACGCTAAAATGTCAGAAAGCGATCGCTGGGACGCATGGAACATATTCCGACTTTTAACTCATTTTCGTAAAGCGAGTTTTTTCTGCTTTTCAGCTCCAGCGTCCATTCTTTTGACCACATATGGATCAAGTTCACCTTTTTCTGTTTTCTTTTTCTTTATCATGGCCGGTGCATCGTTACTTCAAGTCTGTTCAGAATCAAGACTTTACTTTAATCGATGATTATATTGATGGACTCAGAGCTTGTCTCTACATAAAAGCTCATCCAGAACTTTACCATGATTGGAATTTTCAATCACCACCAACACCTAAGCATCAGAAAGGTAAACCAGTTGGAACCATTGGTCAAGGATTACCGAATTTCGGTGAATTTGCTGAGAAGAAAAAAAATATGATCGGAGATTCGAGACGAAAATCTTTCAATCAACAACAAATCGAAACAAACATGAATCAAAGTGATCTAAATTCGACTAAAAGTGAACAACAAATCAAATCAATTCCAAGAATAAAGGTAATCCTATTTCTTTTTTTTCTTCAATTTTTAATTTTTGTATCTCTTTTGGAATAGGAAATCGTTGCTGAAGCTGTACCAAGAATCGGAGCCTTTGGTGAACTGGACACTAAACAACAAGTAGTTGCTTTAATTGATGAGGTAAATGTATCAACTCTCATTTTTATCCTTTATCGTTGTTAATTTTCTTAATTGTTTCCTTAAAATAGGATATGTGCATCAACTGTGGTAAATGTTACATGACTTGTAACGACTCTGGTTATCAAGCGATAAGTTTTGACCCGATAACCCACATACCCAAAGTAACAGATGATTGTACTGGTTGTACTTTATGCTATTCGGTTTGTCCAATTATCGATTGTATTTCAATGGTTCCATCGAACAAACCAAATAAACCCAAAAGAGGTATCGAACCAGAATATGAACCATCGATCGCACCTAAAAGTCCGCTTCCAATTCAATGAAACTAAACTGAGATAATATGTATTTCGAACATGAAAAAATACTTTGTAACTCAATCAATGAAATAGAGAAAACGAATAAATAATTAAGACAAAATGATCAATTTATTGGCTTTTCATTTAAATTGCTCATGAAATTCGGCCACATCCTTGAGTCGCTGTTCTTGAGCTCGAGTTATATTCTTATTTTTCTTCTCTATTTTTTCAAAATAAGAATTGTAAGCGATGAAAAAATTTTCTACAGTCCATTTATCAAAATAGTCCGGCCTCGTTTCAACCCACGAACAAAATTGAGCGAAAGCATCCCAAGGGAGAGAACGGCCATTTTTTCGGTTATAAAGACCTCTCATTATGTTTAATTGTACTTTAATGAAGGTATACTCATTCTCCATTGGTTCTTGTTTAGCACGATCATTAAGGTCAATCTGTTGAATTCCAGTTGTAACTTTTTCAACGGCGTTTCTTGGGTTTGGATAACCTGAACCACTCGCGATTGAATCTGGATCACTTTTGATAATTGAATGATCCATTTTCTGAAATTAAGCATGAAAACACAACAATTAGAATTTCATTCAATACTATTGATCCTAAACTTACAATTCAGTTGATAAGAATCAAATTTTGAGAGAAATAAACAAGTAATTAAAGGTAAACTAAAAGGTGAGAAAGAAAGTGTGTAGACCAGCTGATTTTGTCGATAGTCGATTAATCAAAAGTCCAATAGATTGTCTTAAATTTCTGTAACTAGTTAATGGAAAAGTCGAAACAATTTTCGAGAATCACGAAACAGTCTAATATATTAACGAGTATATTAAATTGTCTTTTATTGCAAATTTAATTTCATTTTAAATTAGAGCATTTTCAAAAAAGAAACTTTTCATTTTTTCTACTTTCGATTTTAACCAACAACCAATTGTCGAATTTCCCCCCACAAATGACAAATATCGTCTTTCGGGTCCGAATAAATGTTTTTTGTATCCATTGTTTTCGTTAATCTCCATTTAAGAGGTAGAACAGATTTCGACGAATCAGTTAACATCGGAGGCCAATTTAATCTTTGACCATAAGCAAAACTCTTTATAAATTTGATCATTTGTCTTGTTACTCGTCGATCGCGATCACTGAAAGTATCGTACTCATGATAAGCTTTTCCTAGAATTTGATAAGCGGCGTCACCATGTTTGGTACCGAAAAGCCTTTCGCTCTTATTGAAACCATCCATTACATAAGCATCTAAGTAACCATGAGTTATTTGTCCGTTCTTAGTCCAAGATTCGGTGTAAAGTAACAATGGACAATGGTGAAGATAATCGCCCGCAGCTAATGAAAGTGCTCCTTTAATCTCCATGACGTTATAATCTTCAACTTTATCGAAATAATATTTGAAAACTGTTTCTACTTGTTCCTCTGTTGTATTAGGATAAGTTCTCATGATCATGTAATTTAGCATTTTTTTAGCTTCTTCTATTGACGCAGGCCAAAGTTTTGTGAAAATTTCGTCTTCGTTTTGTTCGTTACCAAAGAGAATTGGAACTCGACGTCGAGGGTATTTTTCAAGAACCAACTGATCGGGGGGAATCGGAAGAAGTGTAGTATTATAAATCATTACGAAAGGCGGTGTTTCTTTGTACGACAATTGATTCATAACTGGGTCGCTAAACGAAGCATTCATTAGAACCTGAGCATCGATGCCTCTCATACAGTCAACCTGTTGATCGGTAAGTTTAGTGGCCTCTGGATCATCAGCGTTACCGCAACCGACAATTTCCGCCACTGTTCGAGTCAAGTTAAAAGTTTCCTCTTGTGTTCTGATCGCCGAATGAGGACTAATCACTGATGAAGCTAAATAAACTTTATCGATTAACTTTGCATCCACGATTGGTGATAAAATGAATGCCGATGCAGCCATAGCACCAGAACAAGCGCCAAAAATAGTAACTGCTTTAGGATTCCCACCAAAATGTTCAATATTTTGATTAACCCATTCAAGGGATTGTATTAAATCATAGATTCCTATGTTACCAGGAATTGATTCAGTTCCACTATAACCAAATCCAAAAATACTGAGCCGATGATTAACCGTTACAACAACGGTGTCACTTAAAGAGGACAATATGTCACCTTGATGTCGCTTTTCATGAACTGAACCTTTATTAAAACCACCTCCATAGATGTATATTATGACTGGTTTAAGAGATGAACTTTCAATATGGTTCGAGGCTAAAGATGAGCTAATGACCGGTGTCCAGACATTCAGATACAAACAATTTTCACTTGTTTCGGGATAGTTCGTGTTCACATTTGGGGGCTGGGGACAAGGCGGTCGGAAGAATGTGGCATTATATTCACCATCATGAGGATCCAGAGGAACTGGTTTGATGAATCTAAGTTGACCCACCGGTGGTTTAGCGTAAGGAATACCAAGAAAAACACCAATCGGTCTACCAAGAATCCGCTCTTGTTTACCAATGACAGTTGACCAGGGGATAGTAACGGTCAGTTTACCTTCATGTGTTTTATTGTAATACCGATGCGGATGGTGATACCCACTGACATTGATTGGTAATAAGCTGAAAACACAAAAAACTAAAAGAAAAATTAACATGATCGTAATGAAATTGTACTTAATTAAGTAGTAGGAAAAAATAAATTCAACTGATGAAGTTAATTATTGTTGATTTTTGTTTCTCTCTCACTCTGTGTCTCTCTCCCAAAGAGTAATAGTTATTACTCTTTGCTCTCTCCCTCAGGTCTTTCGAGACAAGATAACCTTGATTCTCAACCAGATCTATGGACAAGTTTCCGTTTCTATGTGAACAAGATGGAAGATGAGAAAAATATTTATGTGATTACTGGAAATTTTGTTGATTATTACGAAATTCAATTAATTAATCTGCATTTTGATTACCTTGAGAAACTAATCTCTTCAATCTTATCTCAGTGTTTTTCCCTTTTTCATTTTTGCAAACGAATGGTAATCAATTAATTTACTTGAATTTATCTCTTAAATTATTGAGAACAAGTTCTTAACAAGTATATTAATCGATACAACTCGAAATGAAACTTTTCCTCGTTTACTAAAGTTCTAATATCATATCATGATATTCAGTAGTTGATCTTCCCAGTGTTGAGCAATTTAGATTTTTATCTAATCCAATTTAAACCTTTATCTCTTCATTTAAACGGCAGAAAAGTAATCACATTGATTAATTGTTTAAATTGGAATCTTATTGACTAAAGACTCTTTCTAAAGTTCACTATTTAGAAACAAGGGAGAGAGAGAGAGAGTTGAATTTAATTTAAATTACGATTAATTAAGTAGCGCGAATCAAAACAATTAGCTACATGAGGAAGTCGTTTGTTGTCATATATTTTTACGTCTTTTTAATGGATTGTTAATGGAAATTTTAATTGACGAAAGCTGAATTAGAGGTTCAACAATCCAGAGGCGATTTCGTGAAGGTCAAACATTTCAATTAATCGTGACAATTTGTCGTTGCCCAATCAAAATGTTTATTCTGGTAAAAAACTGATCTTCTGTTGAATTAGTCAACTTGCTGTGAGAATAGACTTTGTTGTGTTTACAATCATCTTGTCATATGTTTTTAAAGAAAACAATTGCATTTAGATTGACATTTAAACGATGGAGTTTAATTGTGTTAATATTTTAATTGATGACAACTTGTTGATTAATTTAGAACGTGAAACCTCATCATTTATCTTATTTGGTTTGAAAGAGATTAACCAGAAAATACTTAATGTGAACATATTGGCTGTTAGGAGATTCAATCCAAATTGTGATCAGTTGATTATTAAGAGATTAATTAAGAGAAGAAATTTACCCAAATTATTAGGATTCTTGGATAAATCAACATCATCTTCAGAGTTATCAGAACGATCTACAATTAAAATGAAGCTGGAAAAACGTTCTTTGTTCATCTTTTAGCCAACACCAATGTTACCATCAAGGAATTACTGATAAATGGGAAATGTAATCAAACTATTCCGGTTAATTTGATTATCTACAATTCACATCATTTGATAACATCTCATTCCAAATTTGATGGACCTGCCGAATTAAATCAATTGGAAGAACCAATTTGTAAATTCTGTATTCAGACTATTGAGAAATTTTTGATTCTCAAGAAAACCAGTGATCAATTGGAAATTCAATCCTTTATCCCCTGCAATCAAGTGTCAAAAGTGACTACCAATCCACCAACAATTAAAAGGTCCAACTCATCATGGGTTGATTATCTTCTTGATTATACTACCACCGGTAGATTAATTTACCACCGTTTCGAGGAGAGTTTATTTTGTTGGAATAACTTCAACAACAATCTTTTGACTGTGAAGATCTTCAACATTATAAGTCTAATCATCGTTGATTTGATTCTAAGTTTCTTATTTTTTCTAATCATTTCACAAGTAACCTCTCCATCTAACCTGTTGGAATCTTTTCTCACAATAATGGAATCAATTGTATCAAAAGTGGAACAATTGATTTACAATCTAATCGGAATGCCCGCTGGTCTTAAACTAAATCGTCCATTGAACACTGCCCTTGGAAACTTTTTCCTCTATCATATTCACATTTGGAAAGCTTATATTACTCTAATCCGTCCATTCTTATCCCTGGTTCTTGATCTTCTTGGATTAATCAGTTTCTTTGGAATCACATTTGTATTGAGCTTTTTTTCCGATCTCATCTCATTGGCATCAATTCACATTTACTGTTTCTACGGATATGCTGCTAGACTTTATTGTTTCCAATTGTCGGGCTTAATTTCCCTGTGGCGACTTTTTCGAGGTAAAAAGTGGAACAATTTAAAACACCGAGTCGATTCTTATTCCTATGGACATGATCAGCTATTCATTGGAACAGTTTGTTTCACCATATTAATCTTCCTTCTTCCAACGATATTACTTTATTATATTGTTTTCCTATTTCTCCGTTTGATCAGCATCATAAGTCAATTTTTCATCAAACTAGTAATCGGGATAATCCTGTTAATCCCTTTCTATGGTTTATTTTTATGGATCTGTGGATCGGCTCAGATAAAGACAAATCTCTTCTTCCAAATTGTTGAAATTACCAAAGAAAGACAATTAACTGTTAATATGATTTTTAAATCAATGACTTTAGGTCAAATCTTTAATTCTCATACATGTAATTCTGGTAATCCTTTTAATTACCATAAATTGTTACCAGATAATTTTTTCCTTTCAATTTTGACTGGATCATTAATCTAAACAATCAATGTAAACAATTAACTTACCAACTATTGATATTGTTAGTCTACAAAGAATATTAGAAAATTAATTTAATTCTGTCTAATTGAGTAATCAGAAATCACGAATTTTGAAAACAATCGCAATTAAAAACGACCAAGAAAATAAAGTTTCCCTGATAATCCAACCAGAGAGCGTCACCAACACAACTTGTTTATCTTTGTCTCTTTTTATGATTCTAATCATTTGTTTATCTCAATTAGTTAATTAATTTCTCTTGGTGCAAATTGAGTGTCTCTTTTATTGTTAACCTTTTGTGTAGACTGATTGTTAATATAAATAAATTGAATTAGAACTACTTGTTATTCTTATAACTTTCACTCTATCAAGATGAACCTCCTATCCAAAGTTGGGTGAGTATCCATTTTGTTTACTTTTTGTGTTGATGATTTGCTAATTGATTCTGGTCAATTTAATTTGGATTATCATCAATCACCATGAATCAAACTGTTAAAACTACAATTTTAATTATTTGGTGAGAGACTATAATCATAATGACATTGATTTAATTACTAGTTAATGGGTGAAAATTAGTTGATTCATTTTCTTTCTTTCCTTTGGTTTATCTTGTTTACTTTTTCTTTGTTTGGTTTCACTTCATTTATGTTAATCTAATTGTTTCTTTGTTCATTTCAGTGCCGTCGCTTTGCCCAATTTGATTGGATGGGCTGGATCCAATTTCACTCGGGCAGCGATTCCGACCTGGTATGAGGTAATTACAACTTTCCAATCATTTTCTCAATCATCATTGTCATAATATAAATTTAGTTTTCCACTCACCGATACTTCAATCAGCTGATTGTTTCAGGTTGTTTGCTATTATTTTCTGCTTTTGATTGTGATTTTTGTTTTTCCATTCCAGAAACTGAAGAGACCTTCATGGCGACCACCTAATATCGCTTTCCCAATCGTTTGGACTGCTCTTTACACCACCATGGGTGCAGCCTCATACCTCATCTATCGCGATGGTGGTGGATTCAATGGACCAGCGAGATTACCGTTGACAGTTTATGGTGTTAATCTAATTCTTAATGGTCTTTGGACTCCTCTCTTTTTCGGTGCTAAACGAATCGACCTCGCTCTGGCCGATATCTTAGCTCTAATTGGAGTTATTGGTGGTTGTGTTGCGACCTTTTATCCCGTCAATAAAACCGCTGCTTACATGATGATTCCATACCTTTTATGGACCAGTTTTGCTTCTTTACTTAATTTCAAAATTTGGCTTGATAATCCAAGTGGTGGAGTAAATTCAACTGACAATTCAACCGCCGATAAAGCAAATTAATTCAATTTAATGTTGGAACAAGAAAAACGAAAATTTCAAACATTTTCCTAAATGTATTTTCTTTAAGGAAGAAAAAAAAAGAATATTATTGAAGAGATTTTATCTTCATTTTAATTATAACTTTCTACATTTATTTATGTGTATTTATATCATCTGACTGATTAGCAATCAGTAATTAATTTCATCACTAATTAGTCCACAACAATTTAAAATAGAATTCATTTCAAGCGCCATCTGGTGGTTCTATTTGTTGATCTAAAGAAGGAAAAAAAATTTTTTCAATTAACACGTGAAATCTTGTTAATCATTTATCGTTAATTGTGATTGATTTTATCATAGATTTTTACTAATTATGCCACCAGTAAAGTGTATTGTGTCGAACATTGCTTGGACCGTTGGTCGAGGTTAGTATATTGAACAGAGTTTCCATTTCTTTTCGTTTTCAATTCAAGAATAAAATTAAATTGGATTTGTGATAATCTCTTTTGTTTGTTTACAGTTCAGCTTCGTGAATATTTTTCCCGATTTGGTTCATTGGCTGAAGTTTCAGTTAAATTTGTAAGTGTTTTAAACTAAAATATTGATCGTAACATCCATATTGTCATTAGAATCTTAAATTCTAAATTCTAATATCTTAATAATTTATACAGAACAGAGAAACAGGATTATCTGAGAAATTTGGTTTCATCACTTTCATCGATAAACAATCGTTTCTTTCTGCCGTAAATCAATCAAATGAACATTTTCTTGAAGGATCAATGGTTAGTCTTACTCATTGAATTGTAATTGTCTATGTAATTAACCAACTTATATTTTTTTCATAATTTTCTTGCCACAGATGAGACTAAAACCAATGCGAGAATCATCATGAAATGTGAAAACCCACCAAAGAAACAAATTAAATGAAATCATGTAGAAGATTGAAATCATTGTACATTTTAATGTCAACTTTTTTTTCATTAGAAATTGATAATAAAAAGCTAATTTAAATGTAAAAAGTGTCTAAAAATTACATCAAGATGAATTAGTCATTGTTTTGAATGAAAAATCACCTTGAATGAAAACAGAGTAACAGAATTGATCAGCTGATTGAACTTTTTTACCTTAACATGTGAGTGAAATTGTTTACATTTACTGATTCATTTGAGAGAATTAATTATTGTGTGTGTTGATTTCACAATTAGAATCATGTTTAGAAAGTATATCAACACGGGAATCGCTGCAACAATTGGTTGTATTGGCGGTGTATTAGTGGAAAAGTATCGCAATCAAGGTGATTTAATTGTTCATGCTGATGCCTCGGTTGTGAATTCATTCAAACCAACTGATGATTTACTTTTACCTTCTAATCAAATCAAACCGATTCCTGGTGAAAATACCACTTCAAGAGTTTCAACCATCATGAAACATGGTTATCCAAGTTTCGATTCAGTTCGAACTTATCGGAATTTTGTTCTATCTTATGATCGTCGATTACGTTCAGCTAATTGGGTGTTTGAGCATTTGACACCGAACAGTTTAGAGAAAAATAATTCAGTGTCTCGGAAGAATTGTGACTTTTTTGAAGATCAATCAATTCATCCAACATTTAGAGCTCGAAACACAGATTTTAAATCGAGTGGTTATGACAGAGGCCATTTAGCACCAGCGGGCAATTACAGATCGATACAAGAGGAAGGCTGTCAAACCTTCATTCTATCAAATATCTCACCTCAAGGTAAAGTCTTTTCAATGTTAATTGTTTTGAGATAATTTCTAATTTAATGTTTATTTTTCTCCTCTTTCTACAATTTAGTTGGTGTTGGTTTTAATCGAGGTGTTTGGAATAATCTAGAAAAATACGTTCGATATCGAGCTCGACGATCGAAAAATCTTTGGTCAGTGACTGGCCCATTGTACCTTCCAAGGTAAAAAGACGAAAACTGCTCGAGGGTAAAATCAGTTCCAACTAATCGTCTTATTTGTGTTTAATTTTCAGAGTCGAAGGAGGTAAAAAGTACGTTAAATATGAGGTAATTGGAGATCGTGACGTTGCCGTGCCGACTCATTTTTTCAAAGTTCTTCTTATCGAGAATGAGACTGGTGAATATGAATTGGAAAGTTACGTTATTCAAAACAAAGCGATGGACGATAACATCCCCCTGAAAGCGTTTCAAGTGCCAATCGATAGTATTGAACGAAGTGCCGGTTTCATATTGTTCGAAAAAGTTCCGAAGAATTTACTAAAATCAATCAACAGTAATAATCGATTATTAGAAAATTTTCAAAAAAGCTCAACAAAATAATGAACATAAATAGTGAGAAAACATTTATTTCATTTAAATTGTTTCTTAATTGTGAGACTTAATTCAGTGTTTATTGTACGATTAGTATCGCAGGTCGATAGGTACTTTTTTCGTAAAAAAATTATGTACATTTAAAAAAAAAGTTCTGTACAAAATTACATTGGTATTTTCGATCTGAAAAAGTGGCAAATCAATCTTTGTATCGTCAATGGTCACAATCCGGTCAAATTTCCGTCTTCTAATTTAGTTTGCCACTAATCGAGATTATCTTTTCGAAATTTTAATCAACCAAAACCCACTGTAAGAAAGATTTAAGAAAAGATCAATCAATTATATTGTCAATAGAATGGAATTAATTAACAAGAAAACATTTATTTACTTCTTCTTCGTGAAGGTCACCCACTAGATCTTTTTCAATGGCGACGTTTTTAATTAATCGACATTCACCTCCATTGATATCGTCAAGAGTGTAAATGTACACGAAACCATCAAACGTTGCGACAATTAGATGACTAGAATTTCTGATTCTATGGATCATGCTAATTGTATCCATTCCTGGTACGGGTAAAGCTGCATAGGCGAAAGCTCGTTCTTGGTGTAACAATTTAGAAATTTCCGTTGGTAAATAGGCTTCAGCCGTTCGCGTGATTGCATCGATGATCGCACTTGAACCCGAAGATGCAAGAGAAACTGGTTGTTCAAGTTTAAAGATATGAATAGTTGTCGATGAACTGGTAACACCAAGATAAGTGGAATCGAGGCCGAACCCAAGTGAATTGATGGAAATGGTTCGGGTAAGACTGCGTCTAAATTCATAGACACATTCGCCGGTGAAAACAATATGAACTCTAATTAAGGTTCCCTTTTCACTGGCAGTGGCCACACTTCGTCCAGTTGGACTAAAAGAAATTGCAACAATCGGACTGATGTGAGCTTCAAATATAACCTTAGATTTCCTCACTCGACAATCAAATATTTCGACCTCTCCTTTGATGGCACTACATGGATATCCAAGATAAGCATTAAAATCGTTCTCAGAGAGATCAATCAATCCATGGGGATTTGGTACATTAAGTATAACATAGTGAAGTTTTTGCATAAATTTTGTCAATTCACTGCTAAAAAGGTAAACACCACTTTCGACGGCAATTGCGATTCGCGATGTTGAGGCTCTTAAAGCACAAATCGATTTACTGAAAAGTTTAGATTCAAGAAAAGCTCCATCGGTTTCGTGATATTCATAAAAATTAACCTTATTTGGTGAATCAGTGGTAACATAAGTGAGAATCATAGTTTTAGGAATTAACTCGATCAATTTGATTGATTCATTCAAAAGGCCTTTCTGTATAACGGGATTCGTTGGATCGAAGTAGTTAACTAAACGATAACCATTTGTTGTTCCAACAACAAGTTGATATGATTGCTTTTCAAAGCGTAAAGAAAACACTTTCAGGTCACTTTCATTTTCAATCTTCTCTTCGGTTTCAATATTATCTAATTGATTTTCTACATCACCAACGTGGGCCATTGTTTAACAATTAAAGTTATCAAATAGAATCAAGAACTAATTAATTAAAGAAGAAGAGAAAACAAAACAAACAGAAACGTAAGAGGTTGACAATTGACACAAGATGATTAGGTTAATCTGATTGTATACTCACAGTGTAAACATTTAAATTAAGAGTCAAATCTTTGTGATGATCAGCAAATTGTTGACGATAACGAATGAGATTAGCGATGATGGTTTACTCATATTGTCCATAACCAATAGAAATTTGAATTGATTAAAATTAACGATCAATTTGTTTATTTCAACATTTCAAGCCGATCAGTTGATCATCAATAAAATCACAGCTGAAATTTAAAGTCTCTATGGGAACCGAATGAAAAAGTTGCGCTTTTTTTAACAGTTAATTAATTAAAGTTGACGATTAACTGATGGTGATGGAAGTTAATTAAAGTGATAATAGATTTACCTTGGTCATGATAATTTAGTGATAACCTTGTAATGATCAAATCTAACCACGAGATGAGCTTGAAACTGTTCAACCACTTGTTGAATTAATTTAATTGTACGACCAGAGGAGTTAATTGTTTTCCTTTGAAGGTTATCAGCTAAATCTTCAGACAGATTAGCGGCCAAAGTACCGATAACATTAATCAAGGCTTCAATCAGATCAATTGTTTCACTTAATCGCCGGGCCACTGTCATGATCATCGAATGGAAAAGTGTAAAGAATTTAAATTAATTAACTAATTAAAGAAGAAAAAAAGAAAAGAAACACTTGATTCGGTGAAAACTAATGTTAAAAATGAACAAAATATAAGAGAAGATGAGAAAGAAAAATAAGTAAACAGATCAACAATTAAGGAAAAAGTAAATAATAAATGAGAGACAATTTGATTAGATTAAATCACTTGAATTGACCAATGATACTCACAATCGGATGGGATTAGTGAGTGAAAGATATAAACAATGATTAGAATTTAAGATGATTATAATCAAGTGAAATCAATTGGATGGTTCAATTCCGGTTCTGTCGACACAATTATCATCACAATCAACCTCAACCTCAACCTCAACATGATGGAAATTATTTTAATCAGAACTGTAACAGGGAAAAGAGAAAGGAAGGAAAGATGATTTAGATCAGTAGGATTACAATTTAAGCCTTAAGCTGTTGTGTTGCTTTCCGGTTTCACTTTCTGTCATCATAATTATCATCGAATCTTTTTTTTTTGTTGAATAATTTCTTCCGTCTTTTCAGCATTTTTTTTTCAATAAGTAAAATATTTAATAGGTAGAGATTGAGACAAACACGACGATTGTTGTTGATGATGAGGTTGATTTAGTTATTTAAACCGTTTCGATTTGGCTTTTGGCTTTTTGTGTGAGTGAGTGTATGTGTGTGTGTGTGTGTGGTTGTGTTTGTATTTTGTAGTTGTTTATGAGAAAAGCGGGAGAGAGAGAAAGATAAATCTTCTTTTTTTCGGGTAATCGTGGAGATGAATTAAATATTATAAATTAAATCACATGCATTAACCAGAGAGATCTTTTTCATCGTATAGAGTTTGATCGTAAATTTCGGCTTTCACAATTCGGCCTCCGAAAAATCTTCCATTTAATGAATCACGAGCTTTTATGGCTTCTGTTGAGTGAATTAAAAAAAGAGTAAATTATTACTTTAGTGTTAAATTGGTGATTAATTTTTCTCTTACCTTGACTGTTACTGAATTCAACGAATATTTTGACAATCACTTCGGCATCATCATCCTCTGACTGTTTTTCTTCATAAATGATAACACGATTAACTGAGCCAAATTTACCACATTCATCGGTCACTTCAGATTCTAATGCATCGTCAATATCTTCTACTCCGACCATGTTTCGTAAAACGACAACTCGAGACTCTGTTTTTCGCATCAATTTTTGCATCAACATTTGTCGAGCATTAGATCCTTTGATTACAACGTTCTCTTGCTGCTGTAAGGTTTGTGGCTCTTCTCCGGGGTTACTTTCTTTAGCTTCGATTTCTTTGGAAGCAGCGAGTGCTGAAGCTTTTTCTTGAGCGGCTGCAAGTCCACTTACAACCACCTTATTTACTAAATCATTGGTGTTTGATGCTGAGGAGTTATTGTTATTGGTACTATTATTAAGTGTAATTGTTGATAATGGTGTTGTTATTGTGCTATTTGGTGAAACTGTAGTAGTAGTTTGTTGAGTCACTATTGGGATTGAGAGAGTTGAGATGAGAGTTGGGGCTGGATTTACTGTCACACCGGTGATGATTCCTGGTGCATTTGCGGCTAATACGGGTTGTACTTGTGTCGCTGCTAAAGCCATCAAACTCGTTGAGCCACCAATATTTAAAGATGTAGGAAGTGATAAACCGGTAGCAGGAATGGCTGTTACTCCTTCGATTAAAGGAGAGGTTCCAGAAGATGAATTGGTTACCGGCGATATACCTGTTGCCTCCATGGCTTGGATTTTGGCAGTTGCTGCCGCGGCTGCGACTGCTGCAGCAGTTGGCATCGTACTAGGAGCAGTGGGTCCATCTAAACAGTTCGGTGGAGTGATTGCTCGTCCAACACGAAGATATTGACCTGAAATAGAGAGATAAAAGATTCATTAAAGTTATTATTAATAAGATAAGATAAAGCAAATTACCTCCTAAATCAAATAAATTCATTGATGTGATCGCATCACTTGTTGCTTGATCCGTTTCGTATTCAATGAAACCATAGCCCTTGTGTTTTCCGGGATACTGAGATTGAGCTAATTTACAAATTTTGATTTTACCAAAAGCTTCAAAAACTGATTGAATATCTTGTTCAGTTAAATCCTGATGAATAGAAGCAACATAAACACGATTAAACTTTTTGGCTTCATTGGTGATCTGTTCAATTATCGGCGCTGCTTGTGGCATATTACTAGGTCTTCCTACTTTGATGTTTCGACCACCAATCATGACACCATTCATTTGATCTAAAGCTAACTGAGCAGCTTCCGGTAATTCATATTCAACAAATGCAAACCCTTTATGCTTCTGAGTTAAAGGGTCCCAAGACATGTTAATTGACTTAATGGGGCCGAAAGGTAAAAATGCTTGTCGAACAGTATCCTCTTTAAGCTCAAAACTAATACTTCCAACATAAACACGGCACATAAGCACCAAAGCTTGATGCCGCTGTAGTGATTTTTGCTGTTGTTGTTGGTGGGCTATGGTTTGTTTGACAAGAACACTCTTAATGCTTTGCTCCATGGCATATTTTTTGGCTTTGGTGATGGACTCATATTGTTCCGGTGTAAGTTTAACCAATCCAGCTTGAATTGCTGAAGCTCGAAGGGCACCAGGACCACATATCAATGTACCAGTTTGTTGAACAGCTGACAAATCAGGAGAAGAAGCATCATCTGTTTAATAAAGAAGCAAATATGATTAGAATTTAAAGCAATTAGTTTTTTTACCATATTATGTGAAAACAAAAAAAAGTATAGAGAGAGAAGAGCTGAGAGACATCGTCAGAGAGTTGATCGGCTTCCCAATGGTTATGTGACTATCACAGGCTGTAGGTTTTTCTGTTGCATCGAAAATGGATCACACAGAGAAATGGATGTCGATGAGTAAAAATAAAAAGAGAAAAAAGAGAAAAAGAGAAGAAAAAAGAGAAAAAGAAGGTAAAAAAGGGAAAAAGTAAGAAAAGGGAAGTAGAGATGATGAGGATAAAAGAGGCAGAGGTAATAAAGAGAGAAAAAGATGGAAAGTGATGAGAGAGAATAAAAAAGAGATAGAAAGGTAAAAGAAAGAGAGAGAGAAAAGGGGAGAAAGGAAAAAAAAGAGAACAGAAAAAGAGAAAAATATTCTATGAAATACTCTAATGATAATATAAATTTATAATAATATAATTAAATATGGCAATAAATATGAATTTGAAAATTGTTAAAATTAATTAAAAATAGATAAAGATTCAGGCTCAGTACGGACCATCTTGGTTAATGTTGTTGACTCCGTTATCCATGTTGTCTTTTCAATTTGGACCAATAACACAATAAAATAATAATTTGACTAAATGTTGATTTAACTTAATAATTAAATAAATAAACAGTCACTAAGATAAGAGATAAATTAAATTAATTAATTACCATTGATAAAATTAATCGATGAAAATAAATTGAAAAAAGGAACAGAAAATTTTTTTAAAAAATTCTCATTCACATTCACATTTCTAGAGAAAATCTGATGTTTCTTTTTTTCTTTTCCAGAGGGAGACACTTCTTTGTTTTGATTCTTCCTTCATTCTAACAAAGGTTCAGTTTTTTTCTCTGTCCCTTAATTAAAACAACTTGGAAATTGAATTAAATTTAATTTCTTGTATTTTCTTTTAATTATCTGTGATTAAGTACTTCCTGAAGCTCCATTTAGTGGCTAAGAAAAGCTATTTTTTACAGGTAATGTTAGCATTTTCTTCGGATGAGAAAAGGTTGTTGCTGAGTTTACAGTTTTACTATTTTTTCAAATGATAATTTGACTGTTTGTTGTGATTTTATTTTCTTTTAATGATTATATTTTTTATCTTCTCTATTACGTCTTTCTTTTCTTTCATTTTATTCTTGCTTTATATTAACATGTGGCTTTGTGTTATTTTTTCTTTTTAACCATTAGATTTACAATGGATTTTGTTATGGAAAATCAAGACATTAAGAGCCTTGAACACCCCACCCTCAAGGTACCTTATGAGATTTTGAATAAAAAATTCCGTGGAGCTCAGAAAACTATCGACCGTGAGGTTTGTCATGTTCAAAGTTGTGTTAACACTTTGGAAAAAGCTGTTCTTGGTCAAGGGTCCAGTTTACCTACAGTGAGTACCATTACCGATCTCTTGTCTGGTGTGGTTGAGAAATTGACTGTTCTCAAGCGTAAAGCTAAGGAAAGCATAATGGATGAATTGGAAGCTGCCAAATGTTGTAAACGTCGATTAGATCATCTTAAAGAATATTGTAATCCACGAACAACCGAAGCTTCCATCAATCAATGGAAAAAACGTCGATTGGACCGAATGCTTGTAGAACATTTTTTAAGATCTGGCTATTATGATTCAGCGATCAAATTAGCTGTTCATTCCAATATTGAACATTTGACGAATATCGATTTATTCCTAGTTTCCCGACAAGTGGAAGAATCTCTTTTACGCAAAGAAACTGGACAATGTCTATCCTGGTGTCATGACAATAAGTCAAAACTTCGCAAAATCAAAAGTCCTTTAGAATTTAATCTTCGACAACAAGAGTTTATTGAATTTATTAGACAGAACAAGCGAATTGAAGCCATCAAACATGCTCGAAAATACTTGAGCTGTGTGGAAGGTGATCAAAAGGTTGATCTACAACATGTAATGGGCTTATTAGCTTTCAATCCAGATACCGAAGTTGAACCCTACAAGTCTCTTTTTGATGAAACCCGATGGTCAAGTTTAGTTGAACAATTTCGTTTGGCTAATTTTAAATTGTATCAACTGAGTCCAACCTCTGTTTTTGCAATAACACTTCAATCAGGTCTTTCAGCTCTAAAAACACCTCAATGTTACAGTAAAGATACGGAAAAAAATCCCGATTGTCCCGTTTGCTCAGATCTCCTTAACCAATTGGCCATACCACTTCCCTGTTCCCATTGTTCACAATCTCGTTTAGTTTGTCACATCTCTGGTCAACCATTGAATGAACATAATCATCCAATGGTCCTTCCTAACGGAAATGTCTACGGGGAACTATCACTCAAACAAATGGCCATAGAAAATGGTGGTAAAATAATATGTCCACGAAGTAAAGAGGTTTACGATTTAAAAGATGCTGAAAAAGTGTACGTAATGTAATCAAAAACATCAACACCACAAAATGATACACAACAATATCAACAACAACAACCACACACACACACACATTACAATAATTATAATCAACCCAAAATCTATAGATAAAACCAACAGACAAACAAAAGATATACAAATCAACAATGGCCATCATACACATTTCAAAATATTCATCAATTATAAACAAAATTAAATTCTCATCTCAATAACCAAACAGAAAAAAAAATAAACGCAAAGGTTAATAATATCTTAGTGTCACATTCATTTTGATTACAATTGTTTTAGAACAAAAAAATGTAAATACAATAATATAAATCTCGGATAATCGAATTGAACTTTTTCGTTTATTTCAAATCGAAATGATTTTGTTTTCTCTTCCTTTTTAAATCCTTTGTGAAAATAAAACCGAGAGAATTATTTTAATTTCTTTTCTCGTCTAATTAACACTAATCAGGCACATTCGAGACAATTTTCAAGTTGATTGACACTCCAAATATGAAAAACTAATTTTACAATAAGAAAAAAAGTAAACATGATGAGTCGAGCAAAAGAAATTAGATTTTTTTCAATGGTTCCACTCCAAATAATGATTATATTGATTAGTTATTAATGAGAAAAAAATGTTTTGAAACAAATGACAAAATTAGATGAACGATTATCGATTCTGATTGTTGCCGTTCTAGTTTCATCTGACGGAATTGACAACTTGCTAAGGCGCAGAAAGTTAATTGTTTCGTCGATTTGGTTAATCATCGAGTGAAGTCAAAGATTGTATTACACTTGTGTGCATGACGATCATCGGTGGCTGAATGTGGGGATTATTTGATGATGGATTAACTAATTGATTCTGTTGTTGTTGTTGTTGTTGTTGTTGATGCATTAATTGAGATTGTGAGGCTTGAACTAATTGTGATTGTAAGGATTGGTGAGGGTTTTGAATTTGTTGCTGTTGCTGTTGTTGTTGGTGTTGTTGTTGCTGCTGTTGATGGTGATGATGATTATTTGCTTGATTAACTAATCCATTTGTTGATTGGATTGTGTTAGTTGATCCTGCTGGATTTTTCGGTCGACGTTTTCGCGTTTGAATGCCGTCTTTTTTCATCGTCATCGGACGTGGGACACCGTGTAATTTAAAGTAAAGGCCACAAGCATTGCAAACGGGCGCACCTTCAATATTACGCCTCCAAAGAGTTGTTTGTCCAGTGCCACAGTTTGAGCACGATAATCCGGCCCGACGATTATTGGGAATCTTTTTGTGTGGTTTAATTGGTGGTCGATTCATACCATTTATCTTTGAGTAAAGACCACAAGCGTTACACAAATAATGACCTGTTCCATCTCGACGCCATAAAGGTGTTGACATCGCTCCACATTAACACATTCCCGTGCTTCCCGTATTCATATTCAGCTGGTAATTGACTTCGATAACATGGCGCTGAGACTAAAACTGCAAAGGTATAAGAGAAGATGAGAATTTGATTAAATTGGTTCATTTGGAAACTAAATTGGATGGAGAAAACAACAATTAACATACTGTGATAATTTGATGGATTGTGATTAATAGATTCCGAAAGCTGATTATCTGTACCATTCCCATTAGATGAAGTTGATCCTCCGTACGAATCGGGTGAAGTAAAATATGGGACTAAATTTCCGCCAATAATATTTTTCTCATTTCCGTTATCACCAGAGTGTCCCGTAGGTAAGGTAGACATAGAATGGCCTGTTGGCCCTTGAACAACGTAACTATATTGAAATCCCGCTACAATCGAGGATTAAGATAAAGGGGAAAAACATCACCAAGGAAGATGAACAATTAAACAAACCGAACAATTAAACATCGTTCAAATCTTTTGTTCATTGTGTTTCAAACACTTAACCAAATGATTGTTTCATTTGATTGAACGGAATGAGTTTCAATGATTGCGGAGCAAAAAGATCACATACCTAAAGATTGAACTGGTACATAAGGAACTTCGGGATTAAGTGATGAACGGGAAGAAGGAATCAAGTCCATGTTGATATTATTATTCTGTTGTTGTTGTTGTTGTTGTGATTTCTTATTATCCTCATCGTTGGACTGATTTGGTTGTTGAGTTGAATAAAACTCCTCTTGTTTCAATCCTTGGTCCGAATGAACAACATATTGATCTTTGGTGATTTCTGGACACACGAAACAAGAGAGAAAACGTAATTAAAAGTAAAGATGAGAAAAGGAAGAGAAAAAAACACCACAGATAAATGATATAGAAATGAATTCGTTGGACAATCAGAATCATTTCGATTTTCACTTAATCACAAGTTGAAACAATTTCTTACCAATCTTGGGATTTTCAATCATGTTTGATTTAGATGGTGAAATTGAAGTGGTTATATTTGAGGACGATGATGATGATGATGATGAAGTTAACTGATTAGTGGCATTTGAATCGGCGGTCATCTTATTTTTTAGACTATCATTGTGGGCCGAGTCGATTGGCGATTCCTTACCTGCCATTATTATTTCTTGTTTAACGTTCAAATACTTTTGGCTTAGCATTTGGTACGCGATGGCGATGCTGATGATGATGAGATTGTGACAATAAATTGTTACTGAATCTCAGAGTTTTTTCTCCCTCTTTCTCACTCATTTTCATTCTCTCTCTCTCTCTCTTCTTTTTCCATTTTCTTTCTTTTCCCTTGTCTCCCATTGGTTCGAAGTTATCAGAAAAAACTTTGGATCTATTTACTCTGCTAATCCGATTCTATGGTAACAAAGTGATAAAAAGTCAAGTACTTTCTCTGTAAAGAAATAATCATAAAGTTTGTTTTTTGGTTAGACTCATAATATTAATTATTAGAAAGAATAAGAGGAAGATGATGAAGACGATGATGAGAATGAGAAAGAGGAGGTTGGATAGGTGATGGAGGTGGAGAAGAAGAAGAAGAAGAAGAAGAAGAAAAAAAGTAAAGATGAAGCCTGAATTCACCCTTCATCATCTTCTTCATCTCTTCATCCTCTTTGTTTTTCTTCATCATCGTCATCATCATTTAGCATCATAATTAGGAATCATCCAAGAGAAATGATTCCTAATTGTGTAATGCTAATAATGTTATTAATAAGGTGTTTTAACCAAATTATGATCAAAGTCATTACAATCAGGTAATTTCATCTTCTCCATCATCATCATCATCATCTCATCATCCTTACAGTTTCATTCAAAGTCACTTACATTTTTGCCTCCTCGTGATTTATTTTACTTTTTTTTTACATTTAATTGCGTCAATTGTTGTCAATAATAATATTCATCATCATCATTAAGGCTGATTAATTTATAGACACTATTAATACACAGGAATTAAGAGAGAAACTCAATTAGAAAGGGAGAAAATTAAATTAATAACAATTGTAACAATTAACTTCATAACAACAACAACACACGAAAAAAAAAGGCGTAACTGATAATTTTAATCAACAACAATTATCTAATTCTAATTAGTATTATTAAATTATCTCTTTTTTTTTCATTCATTTATCTCTTGAAATTTATTCTCAACTTTAATCAGTAATTGATTGATGTTGTTGATTTGTTAATTAAAACTACAGGTAACTCACAGAAAATTGTGTGATACTAAAATTTAGTTTTAGTTTAGTTGATTAACTTTCTCACAATCGTCTAAACAATTAATATAATTGGTAAATATTAGTAACATTTTTCTTAACTAACTGTAAGAACATGATTATCTTCATCTCTTTCTATCTTCACAGTGATTATTGATTAGACAATAGATTTCATCTAATTATTACACTTAGTTTGATTTGTATCATTATCTTAAAAATGATTATCATACATAAACGTGATCAAATTTGATTAAGGTCTACAACAGGTAAATCTTATCATTACCATGATATTGATTGACATAATGTTTTGTTGTCTATCACTAATCAGTGAAAAAAAGTAAAAGAAACTGATTAAAAAATAGATGAGATTAAATATCTTCAATTGATTAACTTTTAATCATCTGATATAAGTTAATATTAGTTAAAAAAGAAAAGGATAAAGTTAATTATAACAAATTAAGCTAATCTAAGGTTAATAACAATTGAAATGCTGGATAAGTTTTATAATAAGTTGATCAACAATTTGTCTTCACATTGTATTGGTCTTAGATTTTGAAAATTGATTGCTCATTGATAGGATTACTTAATTAAGTGAGTACTTTACCTTCAGGGAGGATCAATTACTTTGTTACAATTAATTTTATCATCCAGGTAACCACAAGAATGAAGATGAAGAAAAGTTAATGGATGATAAATGGAGAGAGAGAGAGAGAGAGAGATTGAGTGATATTCGTCATTTGTCTTCCTCTTCATCTCCATCATCCATTATTATGATTATACTTAACATGATGATTTCCATCACCATCAAGGTTAAATGAGTAAAAGATGAAATAATAATAAAACGAAAATAAGATCAACAAATTGTTTGAAAGAGCGAAATCACTTTGAGGGTAACAAAATTAAGCAAATAGATGTTGATTTGTGTGTAACAATCAGAGTAAACAGAAAGTTGTGGGTAAAGGTGAGAGAGAAAAGTTAACCTTTGACACTAAACGAGAAAAGAAACAAACAGATGAACAAATGTCAACAAACATTTCATTTGTTTTTCTTTAAGTAAATTAATTAATCATAATTTTTTTTTCTCTCTTTTTTTTCTTTCAAATTGACACTTTTCAAACTTCAACCAATACAATTACTCTCATCATTTCAACCATTCACCTCTAAGAGTGTAAATACAAATGTTCATCGTTCATCATTATCACTTTAATGTCTTCTTAATTTTCACTAATTCTTTCATCATCATTTCATAAATTCAGTTGGAAAATAATCACAATTAACAATTTAAATTCCAATCGATCGGATAAACTTTTCTGTTCATGGAAAATAATTCAGCCCAAGAAATGAAGATTTTCTTTGAAAGAATAGACGTTCAAAACCGAACAAGATAAACTGTAGCGAATAAATTGTCGAATTATCAACGATTTTAATTGTAAAATTAAAAGAAAAAGTGTTAATTGTTAATCGAAAAGAGAAAAAAGAGCGACTGTCGCCACCTGGCGAATGAACTTCGATGTTCCATTTAAATTTGGCGCTTTTCGTTTGCGACAAAAAAGTTCTCAGTTCGCATGACCGCATTGGGCGTATCAAAATGGCGCTTTTCTTTTAGTCTTGCATTTGCAGTTTCTTTTGTGGCGATTTCTCTTTCTTTTTCTCTCTCTCTAGGTTTTTTTCTCATTTTTATCATCACATTTTGACTCTGTTTTTTTTGTGTCTCGGTCTCACTCTCTCACTCTCTCTCATCATCATCATCATCATCATCAGCATCTTCTTCTTCCTCATAATCGTCTTTGTTAATAAATAAATAACAATCATAATTTAGTTATAAATATGATCAAGAGAAAAGGTAAGTCCTATTTTTCTTTGTCATCAATCACTTGGTGCTGAGGTGGTTTTAAAATATTTTCACTAATTGATATCTTTTCTCCCTTCCTATGTCCTTTTATTCTTATGATATTAATTCTTTTGTCTGCTTCTTCTTCTTTCTCTTGCTTCTCTTTTATCTCTCTTCCTCTTTCTCGTTTGTCTTTTCTTCCCTGTCATCATCTCTATTCCCTCTTTCTCTATCTCTTTCTCTTTATCTCTCCCCTGTGTAACATGATTTACAGTCGGAGGCAGAGGTCCCATCTCAAATGGACCAATGCATACCAGACCACTGGTTGCCCTCTTGGATGGACGGGACTGCTCAGTTGAGATGCCAATATTGAAAGATGTAGCAACCGTTGCCTTTTGTGATGCCCAATCAACCCAAGAGATTCATGAGAAAGTGTTGAATGAAGCTGTTGGAGCCCTTATGTGGCATACAATTACACTAACTAAAGACGATCTCGATAAATTTAAGGCTCTCCGTATTATTGTTAGGATCGGTTCAGGAGTTGATAATGTTGATATTAAAGCGGCCGGAGAATTAGGTAAATATTACCTTCTTTACATTTTATCATTTGCAATGCTCATCATTTTATGCTTTCAACCCGTAAAGAAGCATCATTTTATCTTGCATTCTTTTCTAGTATGAGTTCTCATTGTCTTAGCTCTTCCCTATATCTATTTTTCTCTGCTGTCATTGGATCTTTCAAGCTTAAATATTTACAATTTTCTATTTTTTTCTTAACCGGCTTATTTAATTTGCGCTTTATTTTAATTGTTATTGTTTTTTTTCATTCGTAGGTATTGCTGTTTGCAATGTTCCTGGTTATGGTGTGGAAGAAGTAGCAGATGCAACCCTTTGTTTAATACTGAACTTGTATAGAAGGACATATTGGTTAGCAAACGCGGTTCGAGAGGGTAAAAAATTTCAAGGACCCGAACAAATTCGTGAAGCCGCAGCAGGCTGCGCTCGGATCCGCGGTGATACTTTAGGAATTGTTGGATTAGGTATGTATTTATCTTTTTTAGCCTAAACTGTCTGTTTTGGGTTTACAGCTCAATTTGATAAATTCCCTCCAACCTGGTTCCATCTCTAATTCTTCATAATTATATTGTTCTCTTTAGGTCGAATCGGTACTGCTGTTGCCCTCAGAGCTAAAGCGTTCGGATTTAATGTTATATTTTATGATCCTTATTTGCCGGATGGTATTGAAAAATCTTTGGGACTTACTCGAGTCTACACTTTGCAAGACTTGCTTTATCAAAGCGATTGTGTTTCTCTTCATTGCACTCTAAATGAACACAATCACCATCTAATTAACGAATTTACCATTAAACAGATGCGGCCTGGTAAGTTGTCTCTACTTTGACATTAAGTCAAATGAACCAACTTGTCATTTTATTTACCAATATTGCTCATTTAAACTTTTATTTTATTCAGGTGCCTTCCTGGTCAACACAGCACGTGGTGGCTTAGTTGATGAGAACGCATTGGCTGCCGCTTTAAAAGATGGAAGAATTAGAGCTGCCGGTCTTGATGTTCAGGAGAATGAACCTTACAGTCCAATGAGCGGTAAGTTTACTATCCCGTTCTTACATGTATTTTTAAATCCTTTTGGTTTTTTTATCATAACAATTGAAATGTATTTTCCCTCTCTTTTCCCTTTTTTTGTGCAAACAATATTTAATGAAAACAACAAAATTCAAAATTTCAGGACCACTCAAGGACGCACCAAACTTGATAATTACACCCCATGCAGCGTGGTACAGTGAGGCAAGTTGCACTGAGCTTCGTGAAATGGCTGCAGCTGAGATTAGACGAGCTATAGTTGCACGTATACCAGATTCTCTACGTAATTGTGTTAACAAAGAGTATTTCGTCTCGAGTGCTTACGGAGAAACTTTAAACGGGTCCGCAGGATACAATTTTCATTCAATGGCTCCCCACTCAACCACACTTGACTCCATGCCTAGCGGAGCTCCCGGAGCAGCAGCAGCAGCTCATGCAACCCCTCATTCAACCCTTCAAGAAGCCGTTCAACTAACTCCCAAGCCAGAGAGCTCGGAACTTCATTGAAAGTTATCATCCATATTTGAGAAAATAATCACTCAGAAAACCACCAACAAACAATTTAATACAAACTTCAATACAACCACCAAACAAACAAACAAACAAATAAAATCATAAAGCAAGTTGCAGTTTGGCTCGTATAAAATTGAGATACAACATCACCTCAACCCCTCTCTCCACAAGAAGATAAGAAATACCCACACATCACCTCTACATAAAATACACTTAAAACTTGATAAAAAAATTCAACCAACTGAACCCTTCTCTTCTCAACGAAAAGCAAACTTGTAAAATCAAGGAAAGGTGTGATTGTATCGATACATGGTACCATAACTTCCTCCATTCTCTTAACTGTTCATCTACGGACGACTGTAGGAAAAGTTCAATTTATCAGAATCGATCCTCTTTTATCACTTTGTACTATCTCTCATCCCTTTGCCCAAACTCTTTAACTCTCTCTCTCTCTCTCTATCTCTATCTCTAGCTCCCTTCTTTTCCCATCTTTCTTTCTCTTCTTTTCTCTTCATGTCATTATAATTAATTTGATTAAAAAACGGTATGGTGAACGATTTATACTGGAGACAGACTTGAATATCTTAGGATAGTTTTAATATCATAATGTTTCTTGTAAAGAGGAGTTTAGCTATTGTTAACCAGCAAAACAAATGTCCCAATAGTTAGTAACTTTTGTTTCGTTACCTTTTCTCATCCCAATTAACACCAATTAATCAGCATTCACAAAAAAAAACACAAAAGCAAATTAATTTTGAAGATATGGTTACATGATTCCACTAATATCTCACCTGACCAAAATCATCATCATCTTATCATCTCATCATCCAACAAACAACCAACATCTCAACACCAACAACAAATCAATCCAACCAACAAACAACAAATCAATTGTTATTAAAATTAACCAGAGCACTTCATAGATTTCACTCGATTGAAGTAAAATCAACCAATAATTTATGGTAACAATTAACAATCATCTTTCTTTGCAGTTATCTATGATTAAAAGCAAAGGCTATTTTATCAATGGAAATTAGTTAATTTCTTCTCGGTTAATGAGTTTAGATTATTATTATTATTTTAGTTAATTAATCTTTTTCTTTTTCTAGTTCGATTAAAATCGCGATCACTTAAATGTTTTACTTCGGAATTTACATTTAATTCACTTGGATGATTATGTAATTAACAAATTGTTGGTTTTCGGGTAGCAATTAGTTGATAAAGAAAAGCAACAACCTTAATTACTTTTTATCAACTTGACACTTATCAGTTTATTTGTCTTTGATTACAAATCTAAGATTACATACATTAAGATATTTACTTAACTACTTGTTAGATTATCCAAGTTAATCTATTACTAATTAACTTAATTGATTAACTTTAAGATAAGTAAAAGTGAGCAACTAAAAGTACTAAAAGTTAATCATCTAGAGAGATCAAATCAACTCGTAAGATTAATGAAACGGAGATAATTGATAACTAATGATGATACAATTGATGAATAAGAAAAAAAACAAGATACAAATATTGAATTTTAATTCTTAATTGATTGGCTTTAATTCAACAATTAACTCGTAATCAGAGATTCGGTTAAAACTTTCAAATCATCAGAACTTTTGAAATAAATGTTTCAAATTACGTTGAAATTTTCTCATCTTTCTCTTCATCAAATTACTTACTAAAAATTGATTCTAAATAATTGAAAGTAATCATTTTCAAAGTAGAGACAAAAATGACAATTAATCTGATTGATTAGAAAATTAATTTTTCTAAAGAATAAAAAAGTCATTAGTTAGCCAGCCAGTCGAAGCTCGGCTGGCTAAGATCTCTAAAAATATTCGATCAGATGAATTCACTCTGATTGGTCAATTGTTCTTTCGAACCTGTTGCCATCTGGTGGTAGAAAAGAAAAGAAAACAACCAATGTTTACAAACGTTCTCTCTTTAATTATCGTTAATTAACTAATCTTTAATCTCTAATCACAACAAAGGCCATTTTAATGCCTCTTAAATTGGTTTTCTGTTAATCCGTTTTTTTTGGGTAAGTATGAACGCTATTTACTTTCACTTTTACTCTTTATTTCAAGTTATTGTTTTAAAAAGAAAAAAAATTTTCAATTCTAATTTAAGTTTTTTTTTTGTTCTTTTCTCTCCTCTTAGAGTTTTTGATTTTTTTGCTCTTTTTTTTTCGTTTCTTCTTGTTGTCAACAAGCAACATGATTTCTGCATCTTCTACCCACAATACTGATGCTTCATTAACCACTGATGATGAAGATTCTGACCACAAATCCACCACCAGTTATAAGGAAAGACGCCGAGAGGCTCATACTATGGCTGAACAAAAACGTAGAGATGCAATTAAAAAAGGTTATGAGGAACTTCAATCATTGGTACCAACTTGTGCTCAACAAGATTCTGTTTCAAGTTATAAATTGAGCAAAGCGACGATTCTTCAACGATCAATTGAATATATTCAATATATGCAATCACAGCAGAAAAAAGAGGAAGAGGATTTACAAGTAAGTTTGTTACTAAATTATCTCCAAGGCCTAAGAAATTAACGTTAAGTTTTTCTCTGATTTTATTTTTCTATATTTTGTTTACAGTCTCTTCGTAAAGAGGTTATTGCTTTACAAATAATGAAGGCTAATTATGAGCGTATAGTTAAACACCATCAACAAGCTCAACCTGGACAATCGTGTAATCAAATAAGTGAAGATGTTAAATTTCAAGTTTTCCAAGCAATTTGTGATTCTCTTTTCCAATCATTTGATTCTTCAGTTACAGTTAAAAATTTCGATGAACTTTCTGGTGGTATATTCGGTTGGCTAGAGGAACATTGTAAACCTCTTACCCTTCGTGAAATAATCATCAACGTATTAAAGCAACTTAAAAGTCAAATGATTAACCACCATTAGATGGTCATAATCAACTTTATTTTCAAAATCAAATTGTTACGATTACTTTAAAAACATATACACAAAAAAAGTTTATCATATGATAACAAGGAGAAGATTATTATATTTTATATTTCTCCAAAATTGTTTCTATTAGTATAAAACTTTGTAATACAAGAAGTGAACTTTGTTTTTTAAATTGTTACAAATTAAATTCAAATTAACTGAAATCAATTAAAATATTAAGATTAATGAAACAGAGACAATTGATAACTAATGATGATACAATTGAGGAATAAGAAAAAAAAACAAGATACAAATATTGAATTAAATTCTTAATTGATTGGCTATAATTCAACAATTAACTCGTAATCAGAGATTCGGTTAAAACTTTCAAATCAACAGAACTTTTGAAATAAATGTTTCAAATTACGTTGAAATTTTCTCATCTTTCTCTTCATCAAATTACTTACTAACAAATTGATTCTAAATAATTGAAAGTAATCATTTTCAAAGTAGAGACAAAAATGACAATTAATCTGATTGATTAGAAAATTAATTTTTCTAAAGAATAAAAAAGATTTAAAAAGAATACGAGAAAATAGTTGTTTTATTGTCCACCAGATGTCAGTGATCGTGGAACACAAGTTGACTCAGCAAGTGAATGAATGAAGGGCCTTCGCTTGAGGGGCAGAAATTAAACTTCAAACACTTGACGTTAATTGTTTTTATTTTGTTTAATTGTTTCTTTTATTTTCTGATTAACTTTTTATTTCTCTTTTTTTTTACTCTGATTGTGGTTTTACTTTTGTCTTTGTATAAAAATGTGAGTATTTAGTTTTTATCTCCATTGGTTTGTCGATATTCTAATATTTTACCTGTGATCTTTTGTTGCCTCTAAGAAAGCAACAAGTGGAATCACAACCTTCAAACCTTGAAAACTCCCCTTGATGTAAAACTTGTCTGTTAATCTTTCTCATTTTTTTCTATTTCCTTCAATCTTTTCTTTCTTTCTTTCTCTTTTATATGCTCTTTCTTTGTGTGTGGTGATTATTTTCTGTATATGTGTATGTTTTTCTTGTTCTCTCTCCCCCCTCTCTGTGCTATATTAGGTCAACTGGATATGATGGTAACCGATCTGCCGGTGGCGGTGGTGGTGGTGCTCCTGCATCATCTAAACGGCTTCAACAAACTCAAGCTCAGGTGGAAGAGGTTGTCGGTATTATGAAACATAATGTGGAAAAAGTTTTGGAACGGGATCAGAAATTAAGTGAATTGGATAATCGAGCTGATGCCTTGCAACAAGGTGCCTCACAATTTGAACAACAAGCTGGTAAATTAAAGCGTAAACAATGGTGGAGAAACATGAAAATGATGGCCATTTTAGCTGGAATATTTATTGTCTTTCTTATTGTGCTGATCGTTTCATTCACTTCTTAAAAAAAAGGAAAAGTATTAATCTCCCAACAATATCAAATCTCTTTTTGTCAAAGAAACAAAACAAAAACAAAAATTATTCAGAAGTTCATTGTCATCTGAGTAAGCTCAACATTCTGATGATATTACTTTTATGATAATAATAAAACTGAAATTGGTTAAATTTTTTTTTAACTCAAAAAAAGATTAAATCAATTGAAAGACTTTTTAATTGTGAAATGTGAAAAACAACATCAACACAACAACAGACTTAAACACTATCAATCCAACCATGAAATCAAACAATTGAGCTCCTTTTCTGTATAATTGTTGAATGTTAATGAATAATTAATTGTGAATACGGGAAAAATATCGACTCGTTTTTAAGTATAGTTAATATGTGAACAGATACAATTATATAATTACCATGATTCATTTGGTTTACTTCAAATTGTGTTCAACTCAATCACTGACACACCTTTTCCTCTTTACCTTATTCACTTTCTTTCCGATAATCAAATTAACGATTGTTTTTAAACTGAACAAGGTAATAATCATGTAATGAAATCAGGTTTCTATATATAAACAATAACAGAAAAAGAGTTGATGAAATTATTGATGATTCATCTGAGATGAAGTAAACTTTTAGCTCGATCCAATAGACTTTGTGGTTCACTGTGAAGAAGAAGACAATTAAAAGATGGAGATTAGTTAATGATGGTTTAGAGGTTAATTAGATTGAATTGTGATTTTCCTAATGGAAGGGTAATAATTACCTTTTCTGCTCTGGCATTTCCCCACTGGCTTTTAAATCTGTCAACAAGATTAATGGAAACATATTAGATAAGATTCTTAATCTCTGATGATTTTTTTTACTTCACAATCTAACTGTCAATCTTTACAATTAACAGTCTAACTAACCTTCTAGTTTTTTCACTAAATCGTTGATATATTTTACTTTCAATGGTTCTGATTGTTTGTAGGTTGATTCGTGATTCTTTTCAATAGCTTGAGCCCAACTTAACCCAATCCATTCAGCTTCTTCCAACTGTAAATGTACAACATGAGACAAATTAATTGGATATAGTTTCGTGAAAGGACAATGGTGACAATCAAGTGATCATTGACAATGATTGGCAAAAATATACAATCTCATTGTCAATTAAAATACACTGAGGGTTTGATATGCTTGAGTATGATTACAGTTATTATATTACAGGAAATTTGATAGACAAACTTACCGGAATTTTACAATCTTGATATTTATTCTTGACTAATTCAAATTTTTCAGGATCATTTGGATGGAAATCGTTTTTAGCTAATGTTATCAGCATCTTTCGACGAAGCTTAAGAGCCAATTTTGATTGAAGGTCTTGAATTGGTGTCCGAAGGATATAATTATCGAATCCATGAGCCTCGTGAATTAAATTGAGAGCGTGTTTTGTACACACTATACTCAAATAGGTGTCAAGTACTTCACTATAAACGGTTGTCCGGTAGATATTAGGCATCCATACCTTAGCATTTCTATATGATCAGAATAGGAAAGGAAAATTAGTAAGAAAGTGTTGGCAATGGAAATGGAAACTGTACCTGACACCAGAGTCTCTGAACAATTGTCTCTTTGGTAAACTAAAGCCGAAAACTACATCTTCTCCGCCGAGAATAGCTTCGTCAGAAGTTTGTAGCTTTTGAGTGGCAACTGGTAGATCGGGAACTCGTTCACTATTTGGTAAAGAATAAAAAAAAAGAGAAAAAGAAAATAAATAAATAGATAAAATGTAAACATAACTCATAACATGTGAATTTGTTTTTCTTACATTCTTAAGGTTTTCGCATCAGTAAGTTTATAATCCAAAAGGTCACCAGTGGTTGGGTCATCATGAACACGAACCGGTGGTTTAGTAAGTTCCAATCGGTGTTTCAAATAATGTTCAGGAAGACGACGGACATATGGATTTCTCATCCATCCAAGAGGATAAATATTTCTCGTAAAAGCTCCGATATTCATGTTCCCGAATATCAAGTCAAATTATTAACCACTCAAACTGATTAAAAATCAATTCAAATGTAAATAAAGTGATGATTAATTATCAAAAGAAAACAATTTACCACATTAATTGAATTGATAAACAATAACTACAATTGAAAACATGTGAGAGATAAACAAATTCAGTTTAATCCATGAATCGATTAAATTATAAGAGTCGATCTAAAATCGATTTTCGTTTCGTAAAAAAACTTTTCCTTGTTTTTCAAATTTCAATCTAAAGCCACCGATTGATTGTTATTCAAGATTCGAGTTCATAAGTTTAAATAGTCCAATATTTAAATCGATTTTGATAAAAAAAAGTTCAGTGATTAAGTGAGGACAGATCTCGATCTCTTTCACGATCTCAGGCCTACTGGTGCTCTAAGGATGAAGTCGTTCGAGGTTTGAACCCTTAACTTGTTTTGCTTTCGATTAGATCAGATTTTCATGTGAATTCATATTAATACCCTTGCGAGATTTTCAAGTCCTTACTCACAAAAGTTCTGGACAATGTCCGTTTTTCATCACGGAAGTTACAATCTATTTATATACATAATTATTGATTCAGCGTATATCATTTGATAGTGATTAATGAGAATGAACTGAGAGAAATTGATTAAAGTTGTTTGATCAGAATCATAGTGGATAATGATGATAATTGGAAAATAAATTATCGTAATCTGCATCACGAACTGATTCAATTATCTGACTGCACGAACTGAATTTTGAACTTTGATATGGATTCAGATTTCAAGTTGATTGAATGAATAGATGTTCAGTTTATTTATTTTAATTTAGTAAAATGTTTTATTTAAATTGTTTCAAGTTTGTTCCTTTTCATAATTGATGGTACAAGTGAGTCTAGTCTGCAATTAAAGTTATAATCGTAAAGAGAAAATTGATTTGTATTGATCAGGAAACGGAAACAAAAGAAAGAAAATTTTAAATTTGAAAAGTTCGACGGCAAATAAGTCGACAATATTTTTTGTTCCATCAAAAAACTTATCCATTGATTGGTAATCATAATTAACTGATTGTTGTTGTTGTTTTTGTTGTTATTATGTTGATTATTATGTTGGACATTTTTAACAAACGTCGCTGAATAAACTGGACATTCGACTTTGTCTGAATTCTATGAAACTAATTCTTCCATCTCGATCAGTGTCACATTCAGTCATCAATCTTTCAACATCTTCCGCGGTAAAAGGCTTGTTGGACATCGCAAAGGCCATTTTAATCTCGTACCGATCAAGGTAACCATTTTTATCGGCATCAATCCAATCGAAAAGTTTTCGCAAGTTACCATGTTTCTCGGCGATAGTTTCCAGAAAAGCTTTCAATTTATCAGAAGTAATAAAACCATCGCCTTAATCATGATCAGAGAAAATAATAAGTAAATAAATCAAATCAGAATATAAAACAAAATAATACAATTAGATTCATGAGAACCAGAATTTACAGTCAGAATCAAAGATTAGTTAGTCTTTCTCCGTTCTTACCAGTGAATTTGTCTATTTTGTGACTATAAATCATTCTAATTATTTAACTGTAGCAATTAATTTAGTTGATAAACAACGTGAAATGTTATTCTTAGCTTAGTTTACGACTAATTCAAAATAATTTAAATTTGATTTGCATTCGAAATGGGATTAAATTAACTACTTGTTGCTTAGAAACAAAATCTGAACTTTGAAGTACGAACATAAATCCTTCGAGTATAAATGAGTTAATTAGATTGAGATGATCCAATGAAGAGATTATAAATCTTTCATAACAATTAGCATTCAATTATATTGGATTATTTATTAGTTGTTATTATTGTGTGAATGAATTTGATTAGATTAACTTACTTTGAATTTCCTCGATTGTTTGTGTAACTGTCCCTTCTTCCGGTGAAGTCCGAGTTGTTTCAAAATGTGTTTAAATGTCGAGATGTCAAGTTTACCTTCTTTATTAGCGAGAATTGAAATAATCTTTCAAATCACTTTCCTTGATTTCCAATTTGTCGCCCATTCTTATGATTTAATAATTAACACAAAAA